ATTTATAACAGATTCGTAACAGATTGTGGATTTATATTGCTGTATTGAGTAACGTCAGATATTTGTGCTATTGATGGTGTTATATTATGGATTTATAACGAACTTGAACTGGATATATTTTGCGTTACACGGAGATGCGTTGTCATACTGAAAGTCGTTCAGTGCTGTTGTGAACATGTATTCTGCATACGGTAATTATAATAAAGTCTTGTTATTTGTTCTTTAAATTCACTTTTTCTGTTAGATCTGTAAAGTGAAGTCAGAGTGAGAGAATCTAGTTTACATAACCGTTTTAATTCCACTTTGCAATCCAAGAGTGATAAGGGAAATAAGTTCAAATTCATATCCTTTCCTTCATTCAATCTTTTACATTCCATTCTTTGTGAAACGTTCCACCTGCCATTCGTTATTTCCAATCCTTTATTCCCCGTAGTTCTATCACTTTAACAGTTCACACATTCATTATTTTCTTATCTTTCATTCTCAGTATTTCTGTCGACTTGTCAATTATTTCAATTTCATTCACAACCATAAAGATTGTCCATATCTGTAACAAATTGCTCTTACCAAAACTGCTCCTTACGTTTTGCTCCGGAGCCGATTTCACTTGTGTGGAGCAAAGAGTTTATTCCAAAGAGGCAAGGTAGTGTAAGACTATTGCTATGTGACTTAATTGGTATAACCAAGGTAGTAGTAATTCATATGCAATAGGTACTTAATTGCTCTCAAAGCTCCTGTTTTGCTTACAAGCTTGTTTAGCTATTGATTTGGGAGCATTGCACTTTGCTCTGGAGCCCGTTGAGTTGCTCCCACTTGTTCAGCTATTTATTCGGAGTCTTGCATTTTCCTCCGGAGCCTATTGAAACTTTATGCTTTGTTTAGAGACTCACTGATTATTGAGAGCATTACATTTTGCTCCGGAGCCCATTGAGTTGCCCCTGCTTTATATTGAGTCATTGATAAGGAGGATTTTGACGGCCTCCATTTTGTGTATGAAGTTTTGCTAAGCTATTTGAGTATTGTATTTTCCTCCCGAGCCGAAATTGATTGTAGCCAAAGGTACCGATTGCTCAGTTCATTTTGCTCATGAGCCATCACCAAAGGAGCTAGAAAGTATAAATAGATATTGGCCAGAATCTTTATCATAATTAATTCCATTTACACATTCCTCTAAATTGACTCATTCATCTCAAAGTTATTCATTGTGTATTTCCCTTGTCATTCTGTTATTTTATGCATGTTATATCAGTGGCATAACGATATAATAAAAATCAACACAACAAAATCCTTTCACCAACAGACGTTCCCCGCCGGCTCTCATACCACGTGAGAGTTTTAAAGTGACACACGGGTTTCCGCTCGGCCCAGACGCCACATTCCGTCACAGTATGTAATACAACAGTTATGTCCGTATCATTGAATATATGCCTTCGGTCTGTCGTAATATAACCCTCGCAAGCTCGGGCTATATTGGTGACAGACCTTAGGCATATATTCAATGATAGGGACATAACTGCTAAATAAAACGGTCAGAAAGATGGGAAATGAACTGCATACCAAGTATATCATGTACAGTTTGCGCCAAGAGTTTGCGGATATTTTCCAAACATCAATTGTGTTGTATTGCTATGTAATACTCATAGCCTCTTTCTGTTTCACCTTAGGGCTGAGAAGGTTTGAGATGTCATGGTTTATCATGATGGATATGATACACAATAAATAAAAATAGAGGTGTGGATATTTTTTCTTCTTATACTTAAAGTTTCTTGTAAATTGAAACTCTAACTTGATATGATAAAATGTGCCGACTCATCACTTTTGAGCCTGATTCAGAACCTGTCACATATCAATGTTTCATGTCTAGAGGTTTTTTGGTCAATTCCAGGCTAGCTGGCTTAATCTAGTCAATCAAATACATTTCATGTCTTAATACTCCATACATGATGTAACTCTAATCTTAAGTGCTACTTGACTTAAATTGCGAATTACGTTGAAAATTTATATTTTGGAAAATGGGGTAGGGGTAGCTTAGTATTAGCAAATATAACATGAGATTGGTTAAAAGAAGCATTGTAACTACTTCATCCATCAATTCAATGATTATAATCCATTTGAAGTTTAAATTAATAATCCTGCTTGATAACACACATTTCTTTATAAAAAATATAATTGAAAGCCCATGATTTGAACAATGAAAAATGGAGTATGGGCACTTTATTAAGACAATTATATTGACCTAACATCCTTCCATTTTGGCCAATAGGGTTTATTGTGCCAGCAATGTCATCCTTATTCTCCATATATCATATGTGGCAGATTTAGATATAAGATGATAATCATTGCTACATCTAAACAATATCAAAATCCCAGTTATTTTATTGCAGATTATTAAGGCCCTAATGCTCCTCTTTCCAACAGTAATACTCACTGTACATGGGACATCTGGCTTTTCTGGCAAATTGGATCCAAAGATGGTTGCCATTTCGTCTCTATATTGACCCTCATGTTTACAATTAAAATCACGAAAACCTTGAAGAAATGGCCGAAAACATCGAAAAAAAAGTTAAAAGTAAAATGCTTGTAAAATCTTGAAAACCCCAAATCCCAGTTATTTTATTGCAGATTATGAAAGCTCTAATGCTCCTCTTTCCAACAGTAATACCCACTCTACATGGGACATCTGGCTTATTAAACAAACTGGGTCCAAAGATGGCTGCCATTTCGTCTCTTAATTGACCCATGTTCCAGAAAAGGCTCCGTTACCATGGCAACCAATGTGACGTCATAATAAACAATACATATGAACTCTTCAACATGTCCCATATACAAATCAAATGGTTATTAACTGGTTTTGGATTATCTTCTTGGCATATCATAAGCTAGAAATATGTCTTTTTTCACTGATTTTGGTGCATTTTCTAGGTTGTAAAAAGACAACAAACATGGGTTGCTTAGCAACGGTGTCACACACTAACCAATCATCTGTGAGAAAAATGAATAACATATTTTGGCTTCCCAATGGTCATACTTTCATATAAGAATAAAATTTTTGAAATATAAAATTTGACATGTGCCACCCTCCAATGGTGTCCTGCCCCCTTTTTACAAATAGTGCCTCTTAACAGTTAATTAAACCATGAACTCTGGAGCATGAAAGTAATCCTGGTCTTTCGCCACATTCATTGGAACCAGGAACCACGTCAACCTAATGGGTTGTTGCGCGGCCGGAATGTGGTTTATCATCTCAAAAATATAAAATAAAAATAAAATAAATAAATAAATAATTTATATTGTAAAGTAAATTAACCAGGTATGGTTAATTTCTAAAGAAGGGGAGATTGTTATGATTCGGTCAGTACGTAATTATATTTAATTATATATAATTACTTCATTATTTATTTATTATTTATTATCCAATATAAAATACCATTTATATTCAGCATATTCAAACATTGTAAAGATCTTGCTGCTTTCTTATGATTAATGACTATTTAGACCTCAGTTTGCTTTAGTGCAGGGGAATCCCTACGCTACTATATTCAGCCAAAATAAAGATATATCAGAAGAATTCTGACAAGTTGAAACTTCCAACAACCAATCACAACTCAGAATTATGATTTGAATCTTGCTTACCTAAGCATGAAATCAGCAATATTCTTACTTATATTTGCACAATTTTGACAGGTAAAATAATGTATTTTACCTGGTATATAAAGAAGTCGGCAAGATCTGTTGATTCAGTAAGTTTTACTCACACAACGATGCTCAACAACTATTGAAAGGAGGAACAATAACAAGCCTACTGAAGTTCTGCTGACCGAATCAATAATGGAGATCGATAATCAAGAAGTTACAATAAAATTAGGAAACGAATCTAAAGGAGTCGTGTTAGATTAGAAGAAAGGAGCCTCGCGAGTACCGAATGACCACAAGATCCCGAAGCAACAGTTACGATCGCGATCCGTAACAATTGGTGTCGCTGTGCATGTAGCGATCCGTAACAAGTGGTGTCGTTGTGCGGGTAGCGATCTGTAACATATCATTGTAAAGAGGAGACTCTTGGCTTTATGGTGCATTGAATGAAATCAATGCTGTTATTACTGGTTTTGTGCTTTTCCGAGATAACAATCTGTTGCGTTTTTTGATACGCACTGTATAGGTTACGGGAAAGTAAGCGGATATAAACAGGGGGCTGCGTATACAGAAAGATTTGATGGTTTTATAGCAAAACCAATATAGCTGAAATAGTCAGTAATATACTAGTAGTACCTGCTATAAAGCACCATTATTTGACAGAAGCATCATTAATTCATTTTGATATCTAACGAAGTGGTGGTGATAAGTGGCCCCAGTTGATAAAAGCAGGCCTCGAAAATTTTGCACATTTACATTGAGCCCCATGTTAATTAATCAATCTTCAAAAACACCCCCTGCAGTACAGTTCTAGGGTAATAAAGCCCATATTCCTAGTATCTTACAATAACATGATTATCTTCAAAATAAGAAGGATTTTTTTTCGTTTGCCTAGTTCCAAAGATATTGGCGTTTGAATTTTGAAAAATCTCCATTGGCTGCCATTATAAACCGCTATCAATATGGCTTTATCAAATTGTATTTTTCTCAAAAAGTCTATTATGGAATTTTCTAAAATAGTAGATTTCTATAGTTAACATATTGACATAAGAAAAATCAAAACAGGCACATTTCTGTAAAGTATCAGGAGTCAATTTGAATGGTAAATTAGTGGCAGTGGCGGATCCAGGAACCAACAAGGGGGGGGGGGGGGCAAATTTCCGGTCAGAGAAAAAAATGTTGGGCCCCTAAAACCGAAAAGTGGGCCCATATTTTGAAATTTTGAGGCCAATTTTTTTTCTGGGCCCAACTTAGGGGGGGGGGGGCAATTATTCCCCTAATTTGATACCGACCAATCCCCCTGGCTGATCGCCTAAGATAGAAGGAATTAATAAAGATAGGTAAATATTCAGTTTTTTAAAAACTGGCTGGAATCTCATCTCTTATCATGTGTATCATGGTAAAAGGTGAAATTTTGATACTAATAAATGATAATCCTAAATTTTTATGGATGTTCATGAAGCCTACCCCTATAAATTTTACGAGTGGGGGTAAAAATTGCCAAAAGTGAAAAATAGAGGAAATTTTGGGCACAATTGATTTTTACACCCAGCAAGTTTGTCTGGTCATATATGGAAAGTTCCACGATTTGTTCTGGTTTCAGCGCTTTCACCCTTTTTAAGTCACAATTTATCTCGCTAAAAGAAAGAAAACACAATATAAGTAGAATGTTATTCTTTGCTCCTAGAGTATATGCTTTGATATCAATCTCTAGAAGAAAATAAGAAGACGATTCATCTTCATTAATATCATGTATTTTATTGTTATTACTTTTGGTATACATTCCAATATAAAATATTTTCTCCATTATATTCCTGAAATTGATTATTTCTCTACATAATTCCAATTCTCCCTTGAAATTGAGATCTTACAAAGATCAAAATACACAGACATCAATATTGTTGATATTTACAATGCGGTACCTCCAATTTCACAGAATTTCTTGCTTTCAGGCACATTTATTGACCCAGTGCTTCCAGATGGCCCTACTCTGCTCTAAGAGCCACATATGTGCTCAATTCAACTGTGACAGGTTGTATTATTGCATATCTATCATACATCAAATATATCAAAATAAAAAATAATGTTAGCAATAGCCAAAATCTAGAAACACAATTTCTGTGAAATTAGAGGCCCATCAGAGGTACAAAAACATAAATGGTGCAGGCAGCTATCAGTTGTCAAGTGCTAGGTAACTGTTAGATTAACATGTGCAAATAATACACTACATAAAAAGTTCATCCAAAATTGACATATCTTATATAGTAGCTAGCAAATACTTTTAAACGATGATACAGAATCAACTTAATCTGAAACAAATACTATCAAGTTCAATTTCTTTATATCTTCAAAGATGGAACCTTTTATACAATATTCATCTCTATATATTTGAACTTGCAATTTACAGTATTCTGCACCTTTATTTTATTTTATACTTTTTCGTGCTTTTGTGAATACATGGTTGGTATTAAAATCTACTGATCTAGTTCTAGTCAAATTTATGCCATTTTTCTATTCAAGGATTCAGTCTCTCCATCAAATAAATTGTCAAATATTCGTGAAAATATTGAGGAATTTCCCCATTAATCTTCTTCCTCATCTGATTCCTCCTCAGCATTTTCAAGCCATTCGACAAAAGATTTCATCTGCTCAAGGAAGACGCTCTTCCCCTTGTTAGTGTGGGCCTCCTTGTACCACTTAATGATTGTATCTTCACTGAGGACGTCAGCTGCAACAGGAAAAAAACATAAACACATTGAGAATATCTTCACATATTGCATGTACTCAAGTTTTCAAATGTTCATTCTTGTGTAAATTGATTTGATTTGGTGGTAAACTGTACTGAATTTGGCAAATTTGTCATTTTCAGAACATTTGCAACTACTAGTATCTATTCAAGTTCATTTTTGAGAAAATGTATCACATCAAACTACATGTACTACTGTAGTACTAGATTAATTGTTTCACAAGCTAACTAACTATTTGAAAATTCACAAATAGACGTGAAATAACATGTGGAATAAATGCCTTTGGATAGGCAATTGTTAATAAATTCCTTTGAACCGTCTATTCAAAATATGTCATCTATAGATATACATGAAACCATATTCAACTACATATTACTCATATTATATACAACAGTATATGTATATTTAAGTGAACCTTTTTTCATACTAACCATGGTAGAACAGGACAATGATACGCTGGAAAACCTTCATGAGGTGAATGTTGCTGAAGCAGTAGTTCTGGACCTTACACATGAGGGAAAGCTCAGACTTGTGGGAGTTTGTGAGAGCTGCAAGGACGGGTGCGTACAGCTGGAGATGTTTCACAGCCTGCTCAGCTACCAACTCCTCTTTCTTGTTCCACTCTACCGCATTCATTATCGTATTCCACACCTAAAAATACATTTTATTTTGAATACATTCTAACACACATAATCTAGCATCATTTATGATAATCGTACGCAAACATATGAATATTTTATCTGGAAGTTTCAGTTAATATGTTCAAGTAAAATATCACCTAATTTCAACTGTTTCATCTCAATTTCATCAAATTAATTGAGAAAAGATTTAAAGAGGATTGTTCTCTCCAGAAGTTGTCCACAGCATGGCCATCCAACTCACAGGTACTAACCAGACCTCAATATGCCGTGAGCATTTAAGGATCTGCATTAAGATGAAAATACCGGCAAGTTTGCTCTTACATATATCCCAGTACCTAAGTATGATAAAGCCGAGCAAACTTGCAGTATTACGAGGGCTGATTAGTAACCATAAAACTGCAGATGGCTCTCCGAAATGTTGGAAAAATCCAGTGACAAGGTTTCCAAAGTTAAGAATGTTCATTGTTCATTTCACCTAAAAGTGTTATTTCACCTATTCTGACTATTAAGGGTTTGTTATTGATCATGTGTGGTTGATATATCCCTTTTAATGGTTTGGAATTTCTCAAATGAGTGTTAATGAATTTTCAAGTGAGTGCAAATAAATGTTCAGATAAGTGCAAAGTAAAAATTTTCTTTTAAAAAGTAAATGACATAAAGTAACAGATACATGAAAAGTACATACCAGTACACAAGCCTCAGATTCCCCAATGTTGTTCTTTTTCATCTGATCTTTGACAAACGGTATGATTTCACTGGAATTCTCCTCATTCTTGATCATTTCTTCAAGTTCTGACTTTAATTCCTTTTTGTCCTCAGAGCTCTGGTGCGCCCTCTGGTAGTCACAAATGGCATTCAGGCCAGCAGCACTAAAGTGTTTCTCAAAATTCTCCTGAGTTCGCTTGTTGAGTGGGAACAGAAGCTGTAAGTGGAAAGTAAGAATAACTAAAATACAAGAATATTTGAGCTGAATTAATGAATAGAGTTATAAATGAAGGAGAAATAAATAAATTCTTGTACAATCTGTAACTCAGTTGCCCCAATGTGTTCAGCACATATGATGCAATTCGAACTACAAAGTGAAGATGATATTACTACCACAAAAACCAAGCTGCCAGAAGCCAGTTACCAATTTCACTACCAGATGGCTAATTTGTTTCAAATAACATGGCAGATACAAGAAATAGTTCCTCTAAACTTCAATATTATTAGATTTATTTATCGATTTTCATACAACCTTATTGAGTTTGATAATAAAACGTTTAAAAATATGTCCAATCAAGGAAAATATTGAATCTGTCCAATGCAAGAAAATATATTACAGTTTTCATGATTTTATGACATGAGTTAAATGGGATATCTACCCAGCATAGAAGTCATATTTTCTGATATTACAAATATGATATCCCAATTCAAAAAAACAATAAATGTACTGCATACAATTGACAACAAATATTTCCGATTATTTTTTGAACCGCCATGTAATGACGAAAAATCAACATCATTTCTACATGCATCTAGTTTATTTAAATGGGTTTTGTTACCTGGCAGTACTTTATTACAAAGATAGAGAATGTATTTTAACACTCACCAACAGTTTTCCCTCCATGTTGGCCCTCTTTAGCGTACTGTAGATGTGGTTTATATCCCTCTCCGCCAACCACGTTGAGAACATAATGGTGGTGAAGTCAAGAGCCAAGCCTGAAACACAAGTCAAAAATTATGTATTTTGAAGCATGGACTAACTACAAGAAATCAAATAAGATTACAAAAGGTTATATTTCTAAGTATCAATTTTGAACAGAATGTGTACATTTGACTGTCATCTTGATTCACAAAGTTTCAGTTGACCCAACTTCACGATGATATGATATACATAGTAGAAAATTACAATGACTGATGAACACAACAAAATACTTGTACTCTTAGAGTTCACTCTTGAAGTAAATATAGCATGTCATCGATCTCTCTTATGAAACAAACATCAATACAACTGCTTCTTCTAATTGAAACACCATTAAGGACATGGTGATGCTACATGTGTTTATCAGATATAAAATATGTGGAAAACAAAGATTAGTTTTGAAAGTGTAAACCTCTGTATATGAAAGGATTAGAACTTGGGTGAAAAGATTGAAGCTTGGGTGAAATGATAGGATTCACAGCCAAATGGAAAGGATTTAATCCAGGCTAAAACCTGGGTGAAATTGATACAGAAATCTGAATGGAAACAACTTAAGGATGTTGTTACCTAGTTTCACTAGTTGGTCTTCTAACAAGCTGTTGAGCACAGTGGCTGGGATGAAGCCATTTGCCAGAAATATCCCCGTGATCTTTGCAAGTTTGCTGCGTTCCTCCTCAGTAAATCCCTTCAGGAACATGAGCACCTGTAATACAAAAATGAATTTTAAAAGTTTTGTTCTTTCTATGGTAAAATCAAGATGTAAAAAAGTATTTCAAAAATAACTGGTATAATACAATCTAACAGGGGTATTTACAGTAAACCCTATCAGTAAGCACCCATATTGATCCGATAAATATGTCGGCTAAAAACGAAAGCTTTTTTCATAACCTTCTCAGTCTAAAAACAGAAAAGCTCAGTGGTATGTTTATTTTATGAATGTTTTCCATATATGTGCTTTTTCAAAACTTACTTTTTTCACCTCATCGCAAAGAGGTTTTTCTAGGTATTTGTATCTGCGGATCAGCTTGCAGAACATCTCATTGTATAACTTGAGAGCCTTGACACTGTCCTCCGACTGGAACACGCAACATTCCGCCCGCTCCGCTCCATCTTCCACCAAGAAACCCCCAGGGGCTGTTCAAAGGAAAATGCACTTTAGAATTACATGTAAATGACATCAATATAATATAAATGATGTTAGGTTGAGATTGAAGAAAAAAGCCAATAGTGAACAATATCGTAAAAACAATGATCCCAGCATGCCCAAAATCTAATCAATGTGGTTTACCTATGTTGTGCAGACAACAAAATCATGCCATGATTGTGATGATTGTGATCTCCTCCAAAATCACTTTGATTTGAGTATAAGATACAATACAGCATGCAATAATACCCATTTAATTCAAAATTAAAATTTAGAGCTTTTTTAATTCTTACCTAAGATACCTCCAGCAAAAAGTGTGTCAAAAAGTGTCTCTGAGTAGCGCCTATAGTCGAGTTTGCCCCCATCAAGGAACTTAGATACCTGGAGAAGATATTGATAATGTCAAACAAATGGAGAACAAATCTTGCATGTTATTTCAAACATTAAACATTTAAATACAAGCAAGCAGGGCTTGAGGTAAGGGCATGTCCACTGGTCATTTGCCAGGTAACTTTTGGTACAGACCAGTTGATTTTTTCAGTAGGTATAGGAAAATAACATGGCAACTGGTCCTTGATGCCATTTTGACCAGCTGGTCTGAAAACCTTAGCTCAGCCCCTCCAAGCAAGTGTATTCTTAATTTTTATGCTTAGTATTCACTGTGGAATTTCAAATGATATGAAAGGAATTCTTAGTTTGGTCAAATGATAAATGGAAGCTTTTAAAGCAGAAAAGAGATAATATGAGGTCATACATGTACCAATTCTAATTTATTTATAATATATCCTCCTCCAAGTAGGTGTCCAGAATCCGTACCTCCTTCCCCCCTGCTATAAGCACTCGCAATTTGATTCGCTGTCGCAACACTGCGACAGCAAGCATTTCTTCAACCTTACCTGATCAAGATCTTTGCCAGCGTCGTTTAAACCTTTTACAACAGAGTCACGGAATTGAGCAGGACTGAACTTTTCTTTTTCATCTATCAGAAATAAATGAGAAATGATTTAACTTAGATGAAAACAAATTCATGAGAATAATACAGGAGGCAAGGTCTTCAAAACAACAAAATAAACTTAATAATATTTTGTGAAACAAGATTTGAGATTAGATCAATTATAAATGAAGATATCGAAAATGTTGATTCATCAATGTCCAAATCCACAAGATTCTTCCCTGAAAATCTGAAAAATCAAAGTATTATCCTGGAATAAATTTAGAACTGTTGAATTTTTAGAAAAATAGACATCATAAAGTCTCAACTTGTACTGAATATAGTTTTAGTTGTCTCTTTAAGTGCCAAGACAAATTGAATGAGAAGGTAAAAAAGTTATATATTGTACAGTATGAAAATTACACTACAATTATGTAGCAACTCACCCCTTTTTCTGGTCTTTATCCGTTGACCTTGTAGGACTGGTTTTTCTGCCTTCTGACTCATACAATGACCTTCTGTAAAATTAAATAAATTAAAAATAAGTAAAGAAAAATATGTTGGGTCTCACTAGCCTTTTAGTCTATGGTGAAGCTGAACTGTCTATCCACTAATGTAGAAAATAAACAATAAAAGGACCACTGCATTATTACATACAAACATTATGTACAAGTATATGGAAAAAAACATTCCTGCAAATGATTGTTCATTCTCTTGTATGCTATTTTAAACAACCATAAATGTGGGGGTAATTCATAATTCAAAATCAGGAAAATTTAGGCCAAATAGACTAGATGCGAGTAGAAATAATCATGATTTACCTAATTCAAAATTCAAAATCCAAATGTAAAATTACATTTAGAAATGTGGTTTTGAAATGAGTTTACCAACTTTGAAAAATTAATTTTCTTTGAAAATGTGACTTCCAGGTCGGGGTGATTCCTCATAGACCCCATGCCCATGTTGTAAAATCACAAAAAGTAAATATCTTTTCTTGAAGTGGACAGATAATATTTTCTTTCACTGGACATAATATGATAATTCTAATTTGTGTAACTATCAGATACATAAGGATTTATGAAAAGTGAACCACTAAAACTAATGAATATTCAAGTTTAAGGAAACTTTGTAATACCCTGCCATGTTAATTCCCCTCGAATTAGCCACCTGGAGGTGAAACTGGTAACTACAGAGTAATTGTGTTTTCCGTAATAATAATTTGGAGAGTAAGTAGCACACATTGAGGACTACAAATGAGTTGTTGATAAATCATATCTTGACAATGGAATTAGAGTAAAAAACTCTATAATTAACAGGAGGCCACACATATACTGCAGATTAACTTAATCTATCTGTAATATGTATTTGTGTTTGTATCTAAGGTGTTTGTATCAATTAAGTTTATGATCATACGATGCCTATATCAAGAAGTCATAAAAATCTGACCGTTGTATGCTGTTCTTTGATATTCCTTGTCCACATTTGGAAATTTATTTTTATCATAGATATAATTGCTAACAAATTGTGGGAAACGCTTTCCTGGCCTGTCTGGGTAACCATACTAACCAAAGTCACACAAATTATAGATTAATCATTTAGCTATAACATCAAAGTGTTAAATCTTATCTTAGACAATTAAACAATTGAATAATATTTTCATTATCGCCCACCATGTTGCTAAATGTTGTTTCCGGGAGTCTAAATGTTAAACATGTAGCGAATCGGAATCATAATTATTAATTATTTATTACACAGAGATCGATTCCAAAGCCGTTCTCTCATACTACTCACTTTTCTCATTTCTGAAACAATAACTCTTCCATGTTACTTCCCTTATTAACGCCACTGCTTCCCTTTCAACTGAATCTTTGTGTAACATATACTTGTGATTTCGTTTTGATATAGCTTTACATCTAGACTCAGATTAACCCGTAAGTGACCTTGGTATGGCAAAATGAAAAAATTTTAAAAGCGGCATGCTTATATTTCTCGAATTACCAAGCGTTTTATGTGCCTAACATAAGATTAAATACTTTATAGTTGAAGCAAAGAAATTAATTTATCATTTGTGTGAATTTTGTTGGGTAGACAGGCCAGGAAAGCATTTCCCGCAATATAGAAGCGCCTAATGTGTATGACCCTCGTCGTATGCAAGAAAATAAGAAAAAATAAAAATCCAAATAAGAAAAAAAAAAAAATAACATCATACGACAGTCAGATTTATATGAATAATGTCAAGTGATATGCCATATGAGTCGATTCATTATTTCAAATTTAAATTATCCCATAGTTGAGTAGTCTCACGACAAAATAATCCCATATGTCGTAAGTTCAACACAGTCCACTATAACTCGTTTACAAGAGATGGAACACCAATTCTTTCCCCCTTACCTGACCAAGAGGAAAATCTTAAAAATTTGATCACTTACTTGAATTTCTGATGACCATTGGATAAAGGTGTGTTAAAATTTGAAGATGAGTTCTTCCCGAAGAATAATGAAAAATATCCCTTGTTGTTTGATAACACTTTTGAGTGTTTGAAGACTGATGATAAAATGCTTCACTTCCTCCCTTTTGATGTTGTGAAATAAATAAACGAACTTAATGTTCCAGGAACTGAATCAATCTTGATATAATCAGTAAACAATATGACACAGCTGATTGTGATTCATTGAAAAAGACGAAAATTGGACTTCCGTGAGCCTTGCGCATTTTTCAAAAGTCAATAATTTTGCTTTGAGATTAAAATGCAGCTTTATTTTAATACATTTCGTAATCCAAGGTGTTTAATCATATGCGCATTTATCAAATTTCATTTTAATAGCTTACTTACCGTGAAAACGGGTATTACTACAAAAGAAATGAGTTTTTTTGAAAAAAAATTTCAACAATGTGCGGAAGTGCAGGACCGGAGTTAATGCTTTGCACACGGCACTACTCGACACGCCACAAATATGTTTAAAACAACGGGTCTTCACGGGTAGCAAACAAGTAAATTCGCACAGATAAGTTAGACGTCTTCGCTTTCACCAGAGTCTAATCAGATTAGTTACGAGAGAGAAAACAAGAGAAATTCGTCTTTGACTGACTCACTGACTGCTGTGCTGCCTGTCAATGCTTGAAAAGAGCACAATTATAACACGAACTTTGCATTTTCTGATTTTCTCGAAGTACTGCTCAACCACTACCAGCTCAATAGCTTCAAAATTCAGATTTGTATGTGGTCTGGATAATGTAGAGTGCTCAAGCAGAGATAATTTCCAAGAAATTGTTTTTGGTGAGGATGCCCCAAGGTAATTACATACCATAGGCCAAGGGAAAAGTGTAGTTGTAAGCTCAATATAGAAACTTTACTTACTACATGTACTTCTTTTCCCTTGCATGGCCTATGTGGTTAGGTTTTAGACAGGTGTGTTCAGTAATTACAGAGGCCACTCTCTATGTCCCAAGGAAAAATTGATTTTTATGTCACCATTAGAAGAGTTGACATATTGTTATACTTAGAGTATGTCTTGAAATACACGTATGCCTGGGATCTCCAAATATAGGCCAACCTTGGGAGGGGGTTTGTGTAAAAAACCGGGTGACCAGGTAGCTGGGTACCCTACCTTCCTACCAGGGTTAGGAATTTGATTTTTTCATTTTATGCCTCAAAACACCCAACTGACATCCCAATCAACGTACCAGTGACACAACCAATCAAGCAAACAACCAAACAAGCAACAACATTTATTTACCAATAAATCAACCAGCAAAACGACAAACAAAATTAATATAATGTCAATCAGTGAGGCAATAAATCAAGCAACTAACGTTGTATTGTACATTGTACACTAATTAATAACATAATAACGGCAAATAATGTTTCAATTTACGCATACGTAAATCTTCCAGATTTGTTTAATATCTAGTAGAAATCGTCATCATAGAAAACAATCATCAATATCCTGTCAATCACTCGGACAATAAATCAAGCAACTAACGTCATCATACGTGTAAACTGTGTAAATAACTACATACCTAGGACTTCCGAAATTCAGTCTCTTACAGGTTCTTGGTAAAATGATAACGTAAAAATGTTGAAGGGTGGTCTACAAATGTGCAACTTTGAAAGTTGGTAACCCTGCAAGGAATGTAAAGTAGTCTCAGGGGTTTCACTAAAATTCCTCACAACAAGCTAAATAAATGAAAACAACAGGCTAAATTAATGGAAATCATGAATTTAACATGGAAAAGTTGAAAAGTTCCTAAAAACAACAGCCGCTTTTATGAAAACAACCAGTGAAAATCGCCTGTTGCCTGCTAGCTGCTAATGAAACCCCTGAGTCTTTAGATTTCTTATTTTTGCAATAAAGTTTGAACAAAGGTGTTCAAACTGTGGGCCACAGTGTTCAGATTTAGACCAAGGTGTCCACAATTTGAAGAAAGGTGTTCAACATTTGTATGTTAAGTCGACAGGCCTGATATTACATGTATATTTGAGCTTGTAAGGAACATATTGGTAGGTCAAATGTACATATTGCTTGCAATTTTGTCACTCCCTAATAGATCTGATTCAGCCTTTAATACCATACATCTATCAAATTGTAATTATAATATTAAAAAACTGTGGTGTTTGGTTGATTGCTTTAGGTTTAGCCCAGCTGTGATGCTAAGGTACATGTATATCCCAAGGTCTCTTAAAGGAAAAGTCTCTCAACTCAATGTCAACCCTTGCCATAATCTCCCCCGCCTCCCCGTCCCTGACCTACCTACATGTATCTTGAAAGAGGTCATCATAATAATGTAATATCTCATTAGCACTGAGAAGTAAAAAAAAACATTTTATGTTTGCAGGGGGACAGTTTACTGTGACAATCCATTCACAACTGGTACTCAATATTTTGAGGTCTTCATGAAGAACAAAGCAAGGAAAACTGCAGTGGGGTTCCTAAGCAACAACAACACAACAGAATACATGAGAGACAAACCGATTGGACAAAAATTCCTAAGCATGGGAGGCGCAGGGTTAATCCATCCCCTAGAAATCTCAGCTGGAAAATACACTCAAGGAGACATGGTTAAAGCTGAAATCAATTTTCAAGAAATGTTAGTGAAATTCTATGTGAATGGGAATTTTTGTGGAGATGCACCCTGGGAAGGAGGCCCTCAGGCATATCCTGCTGTGTCATCAGATGGGGGACCAAATACATTAGAAGTTACTTTTTCAGATGATGCATAGGCTAGATGTAGCTGGGTGAGCAATGTGTATGTTACATGGAATGTACTTTATAGAGAGATAGTAACAAGCATGCTCTATCACATTTCAGGCAATCAGAATACAGTATATCCATCCTATATTTTACAATAGATACATGATTAATATTTAGTAAAAATGTGACGATGCAAAAACCTCTGCAAAAAAGGTTTCTTGTTATCAGTTGCTTAAGTCTTTTGTATTAACAGAATTTAAGCACATGATCAACCAAATGAGCACATGACTCAATAATATGTGAGTAATTTGATGTATGTTTGCTAGCAAATTGTCACACCAACTATCTGTATACAGTTTGGGCAATAAATAATTTACTCATGGATTTGCTTAGTGAGAATTTTTTCAAACCACCATTGTTTGGAAATGGTGATGGAAAATCGAATACTCATTTATTTATTGCCTAAACTGTCTGACTGTGCCTACTGTACAGCTGCACATGTACCAGTATCGATAAAAGGCTTGTACACAAGCACTTGTACATAAAATCCATGAAAATTTTTGAAAGCAGTATATATTGATTTTGGTACTGGTTTTGTCCCTTGTTAAAAACAATAATCTGGAGGAATATTTATATGCGTTTGTCTTTGTAATGTAATGATTGCTAATTGCTAATCCTTTTCTCAATTCTTAATTGTTGAAACATGTGTGATCCACTGCTCAACAATCAGTGTGCAAATTCATGTTCATGCCAAAATACCTGTAGTAATAGTGCAGTATAATCCACGGATTTGATTCAACATTCCTCCGAAACTTACTTTCTAAATACACATTCGAAGAACGGCGTATCAAGTCTCAAAATTAAGTCATTTGTGAACATTTTTATTTCAAATAATTTTTTTTTTACATCTTAAATGTACAGTAAAACAGAGACATAGAATATATATTTAATTGTATTGTTAATTGTTTATTGGCGTATTTTTTATGATTGTTCATTGTAAAAATATATCTATTCCAAATTTATAATCTAAATTACATAATGATTTATTGTTGTTGTATTATAGTAGTGCTTTTATCACCGTTACAGATTAACCCTGCATTGCAGGACCCCCCTCGATTTTTCAACAGTACTTTTTGCAAGTTTTTTTGTGCCTCTGTTATTTTTCTAACTTGAGCCAAAGATGAATTCCACTTTTTGGGTAAACATCAAGGTGATAAGGGATGGAGTGGCAAAGTTACATAGGTGGGAGCTGATGCCAATAAAAATAAAATATTGAGTTACCTCGTACCTTGTTTAAGGCATACTGCGTCGCTATAAAATGAATTGCACTACTATTTTTACAATTTTATTGATATTTGGTGTCAAATACACATATCTTGGTATATTTGAAGTCCCAAAACGGCTTAGTTTCAGAAATATCCCAATTTTAAATTCAAAAATGACCGTTAGCTCCGCACCCTCCGCTCATTTGCGCCGCACCCAATATTTCCCACAGGCTCTGTCTGCATAGGGTGTATCAGTTCAATCGATTTCAATGGGTTTTCTTTTCATGATTCATCTTTGAAAGTGCATGAGTTATAACCACGATTTTTGATTTTTTGAAAGATAATGGACCATTATTTTGAGAAAAATAGCATTTTTGGCACCCAAAAATTTAATTTTTAAAGAAAATTAACAATTAATCCTAAAATGTAAAAAAGCACACCCCGGACCCTATGTCACGTTGACCTCAATTGTTGACCTACTCTTTTGGAAAACCAATACTTTACTGAAGAGGTAATTGAATGAGGTTTATAACAAAACCAATGGTATTTAAATCCCAACATTATTGAAATTAGTAATAAAAAATTCAAAAATAAATAAAAAATCACCGAATGGGTCTAAATGACCCCCCCCCCCCCTGCGACTTAGTGTTACAAAAATACCACTGTGTGTTTATTTCCCATGGGCGTTTATTTGAAAGTCCTCGAAAAGAACGCCCATGTTTGCCATTTCTGTCACACATATATTCACTTTTGGTATATTGCTGACCATTTCTATATAACTTCGCCAATTGTTCAGTATGTAAGTTTTTATTTATGAAATATATATTGAAGATGATAAATAAAACTACTGGTACGGCCGGCTATTTAGTCCGAAAAAGTTAGCAATTTTCTGCCGCGGCATTTGCAACACAATTTTTCATATTAATCTACTTTTGTCAAGCAGGTAGAGAACTTAATGTTTTATAAACACTCGAAACACGAAAAGAGCGCCCATGGGCTTTTAAAAAGATGGGAAATTTCTTTTTTGCAAACCCCTCTTACAAATAAGCCCCCATGGGCCCATTAGCGAGAAACTTCAGTTTGTGGTTCATTGTTAATGTGGCATTATGCTCTGTACGAAATTGATGCACGTACAAATTGTGCACACGAGTCTATTACTTAGCCTGACATATACCCCGAAGGTATAGTTTAGCTCTAACTTTTAACAATTCGTTTTATAGAAAATAAATTGATTTTAGAAATTTCTAATGGTGTCAATATATTTAAAAGGAGCTATTGAATCATTTTTAGGAGCTAATTCAAAAGTTGGTTTCAATGGGTTAATATAGATATGTTTTCCCCAGTCTTTACCTGACATAATTTCTATGTCCTGCGTAAATATTGTTGCATTTCTGTAAGACTTTGGAACCTGGGATTTGATGATATTAATTAAATCGACATATGGAATTAGTTTTTGAGGATAATCTAAATGCTGGGGGTTATGTAGGGTCATGATTGTATACCGTGCAAGTTGACGGTGAAAATAATAATAGGATTTCATATGCAAGTACTGTCCTGCTCCCCACCAACTTGTTGTGTCATATCGTACATCTAGTGGCATTATATACCCAATAGCTTTATTATGGAATGCTGCAAAACACTCATCGAATCTTATCATTGGAATTCGCTCGGGAAGATTCCATTGTTTGTCATGATCATCTTCTCCTGGGCAGCACTCGTCAAAGTCGGAAATACTCAAAGGGTTATCCACCGATCGAAGAGGTGCACAAACAGCAGGTTGTGTTTCAAGCAAAAAATCTTCAAATTGTCTCAGTATGGAAGTATTTGATTTCAGTTTAGTAAGTGCATCTTGGTGCAAAAATCTTGGAAGTGTCGGTTTCAATATGACATCTTCATCAAGGAAAACGTAATACAAATATTTTCCAAGGTGTTTCTGAGCATATGTCCAAGCAAGATTTCTTCCGGATCCCCAAGTTGTATTTGGACCATATATGTACTTAACATGGTCTAACATGGATATTTATAACTCAATACCAACACGTCCAAATTTCCCGCATCTCCCAACGTGTCCATTTGTAAAAGATAGTCGCGTATGCATTGATTAGAATTCACAATATAAAGAAAGTTTTTCACGAAATCATCATCATCATCTGCCGTCGCTGTTCTAAGCGATGCGTCTGCTGAAAGCATTGCTTTTGTCGAAGTTCCTGTTGTTCTTATTGAAACATTTTCCAAAACAATTGACACGGTGATCATCAAAATTAAGAAAACTGCAACAAGGAGACCGATCCTCAAAAGATTTCTAAAACAGAACATTTTTCTCATTTTTACGAATTGTTCTTTTATGCTTGCTATTTTTTTGTATTATTGGTATATACTTCAGATAGACTAATCCCAGGGGCATATTTGTTCTTCAACCTGTCAAACACATAGGCCAAGAACATTTTACACAGTTTACACGTACGATGACGTTAATTGCTTGATTTATTGTCTGCGTGATTGACAAGATAGCGACGATTGTTGTTTTCTACGATGATGATTTCTACGGACGCACAATCAAACGTTATTGACGTTTTTATCTGTCAGTTAACGCACGATGTACATTACAACGTTAGTTGCTTGAAATATTGCCCGAGTGATTGACAGAATATCGATGTTTGTTTTGGCGGTTGGTTTATTGGTAGATAAGTTGGTTGGTTGGTTGGTTGGTTGGTTGGTTGGTTGGTTGTTTACTTGATTGGTTGTATTACTGGTACGTTGAGTTGGAGGTCAGTTGGGTGTTTTTAGTCATAAAATGAAAAAGTCAAATTCCTAACCCTGTGGTAGGAACGTATCCGGTCATCCGACTGTTTGTTTTTTAAACAAACCCTGGTGTCTGTCCATCCGGAGTATAGTTCAATTAATTATCCGTGTGTAATCTGCGTGATATTTGAATTAAGTATGCTCCAGACGGACAGACAGACGGCTTCTTTGTATCCCTATCGTTGGGATAAAGATGTTTTGATCGGTATTTAGACTTTGACATTTATTAGAAGTATTCGTCAGGTGAAAGTTTTATTGAATTTATTCTTGCTTGTGGCTACTAGTCTAGACAATTCTTGATTGAAAATCCCACAGTTAATCTATTGTAAATCAATAACGCAAATGCGAGTCCCCCAGTTTATACCACCAGGTGGCTCGCTCGGGTCAGATAGCATTCTGGCGGGTATAGCAGAAAGTTCCCTTTAACCTAAATTACATATGTTTTAGTGGTTCAATTTTCATATAGCCCTTATCACGGGGTACCATCGAATAATTTTGGCAACGTACCGGAGAACGACATTTTACTAAGAAATGGCAATAATTTAGCACAATATATTTTTTAACTAGAGTTCTACTTTGATTTTGACAAAAGTAAGTATTCCACGCAATGGCTATTTCATTCATGAGTTTGTAGGAATTCTGTTGGAACCCAGTTCTGATCAAGTACGAAGTTATTGAAATCGGCGCAGTCGGACTTTACTCCGAAAGATGGTTTTTCGATTATAACTTTTTACAACATTTAAGTATAGACTTTTGAAAAAAAGTACAGAATAGTCCTTATACTATTGAATAATTCTGTTATTTCTGATTCACACGACTCTGATTTGTTTAATTTAAAAAAAAGTTACTTAGGAACGTAACCGGAGCTTGGAACGTAACCGGAGCAGATCAGTTGAATTATATAATTTAAAAAAATAAAATATATGATTTAAAGCATATTAATAAATACGCATTCGAACAATCCCGTATGTTTTTAAATTAGTATATGTGCTTTAAATCATATATTTTAATTTTTTTGATTAAATAATTCAACTGATCTGCTCCGGTTACGTTCCCAGCTCCGGTTACGTTCCTAAGTAATATTTTTAAAACTTTTTTTTAATTAAACAAATCAGAGTCGTGTGAATCAGAAATAATAGAATTATTCAAAAGTATAAGGACTATTCTGTACTTTTTTCAAAAGTCTATACTTAAATGTTGTGAAAAGTTACAATCGAAAAACCATCTTTCGGAGTAAAGTCCGTCTGCGCCGATTTCAATAACTTCGTACTTGATCAGAACTGGGTTCCAACAGAATTCCTACAAACTCATGAATGAAATAGTTATTGCATGGAATACTTACTTTTGTCAAAATCAAAATAGAACTCTAGTTAAAAATATATATTGTGCTAAATTATTGCCATTTCTTAGAAAATGTCGTTCTCCGGTACGTTGCCAAAATTATTCGATGGTACCCCGTGCTTATGTATCGAATAGTTATGCAAATTAAAGTATGTCCAGTAAAAGAAAATGTTATATGTCCAATACAAGAAAAGATATTTCACTTTTATTGATTTTGTAATGTGGTGGGAATCAACCCGAACCAGAAGTCACATTTTCAAAAAATATTAAATTTTCAAAGTTGATAAACAATTTTCGAAACCATATTTTGGATGTATTTTTACATGTAGATTTCAAATATGACATCACGTTGACTGAATTTTGAATATTTAATATTTAATGAGGTAAATCAAGATCATTTCTACTCGCATCAAGTCTATTAACTTTGAAATGACCGCACAATTTAGACACAATTAGAACGGCGTGTAGACTTTATTGAGGTATCAGTCCTGTTTTGCTTGATGTTGAATCAGTTTGTTAAATCTTCCTAATCCGTCTCACTCACTGTCAGACTCAAAATCAGAACTATAAATGGCATGTTTGTTAGCATCTGATCATCACAGTGATCATAAATAATATGTTTCACACGCAATCCAAGACAATGTAGGCTTACCCATGTAATAATACTCTTGACATAATATTCCACCTAATGCCTCAGTCACATTGAATCTACGGCAACCGTATGGTGGCCGTAGCTCCCCAAAATCGTGAGAAACATGCAGCATAAAATAATAGGGATAAGCAGTACGATACAGATTTCTGATATCGATTTTCTGAAGCTACGGCCGCCGTACGCCCTCCGTAGAGCAAATGTGATTGTGAGGCTTAGTATTTGAAGTTACTCATTTTATCTAATACACTCGTTGGACATCCCTGTTGCATTTTTTATTCAATTTGATGTTGTTTATGTTCTCTTAAGATGGCTCCTTTGTCTTTTCTCTCTGGTTGCTCTATTATAATTCATGTTCGGATATGTTACGTCCACAATGTGGAGACATCGTTATGGCAAGACTATTGTTTGGGTCGACCAAGGAAGCTTACAAATTACATGTCAAAATCCCGATGTGTGTCTCTAAATGTCTAAGATCATATTTTTAGAAGTCAATGTAATTCAAAAGATGCGTATGTAAATATAATCTATATATATCTAGGTTGGTCCTAAATGGTACAAAGCTTGTTTACCAAGGGATTTAACCATCTCTCAACGGGTACCATGCTGGTTTTCCTCAATCAAAAGAGGGTTATGTACTGGGAGGTTTTGGATATGGGGTTTGTCCAGAGGGAGATATGCATATCTACCTGAGGGACCGTAGGGACCGAAGGTAGATGTGCATATCTCACGAGGGATGAACCCAATATCCAAACCGACCGTACATAACTGCTTTATCCTATACCAAGTAGTTTTCTAATTTTCTATCAATTTTTTTCAATTATTTTTTATTTTTTCAATTTTTTTTTCACATTTTTCTAATTTTTTCAAATTTTCTTCCATTATTTTTCTTTTTTCAATTTTTCTTTTTTTCAATTTTTTTTTCACATTTTTTCTTTTTTTCAATTTTTTCTTATTTTTTCAATTTTTTTTCGGAGCGGGAAGATATGCCCTGGAGCGGGAGATATGGCGGGAGATAGTTCAGGATATTGAAACCTCAAAATCAGGATACGGGATATATCTTACCAACTTATCTCCCTAAAACTCTACTTGGCATAGGATAAAGCAGTTTATCTCATAAGACAAGTGAAACTGTGAACTTGTGAAGATTGTGAATAGTTCTTTCCTTGAAATTCTTGTCAAAACAGTCCTATAAAATCAATCAAAACTCTTCTTTCAAATAAAAATAATTATGATTAAAACCTTTCAAATAAACTGATACTAGATAGCTAAAAATGGTTTGTAATGTAGATTTTTCTATAAATATGTTTTTACTGAGAAAAATTAAGGTAGAAACGATCAATTTCACTCAAAATTCTGTTTTTAAATTGTCTTACAGACTGACCAGATCAGCTTGACCTCGGAGTTTTAACACAAGTCATTCAATTTCACTTCCAAAAATAGAGCTGTCAATCAAAATATTGAACTGTATAAGAGAGAATCATACGGAGAAATGAAGGTCAAAAACGATTACCGTCAAAATTTAATATGTCATTGTGACCTATTTCTAACAAAAGGATGAAATTCATATCTTATTTTAAGCACATTTAGAGAAAATATATCAAACTATATAAATTGATGCAATGTCATGTAAAATTCATTGTTGTTTGATTAAAATATTCTAGTTATAAAAAATGATGAGCACTCAGCTGAGTTTTCTCAGATTACAAAGTGAAAAACACTTTTGATAATTATTCATTTCGCAAATCTGAAATATGTCACGATCATTGTGTTACCTGTACAATAACAATATCCCACGATTACTGTGTGATCTGTACAATAACAGTATTCCGAGATTATTGTTATCTGTACAATAACAGTATTTTGCGATTATTGTGTTATTTGTACAATAACAGTATTCTGTGATTATTGTGTTATCTGTACAATAACAGTATTCTGTGATTATTGTGTTATCTGCAGAATAACAGTCAGTGATTTTTCTGATATTATGTTGATCCGTGTTTTTTTCAGAAATTCGTTGAACTGACTTCGCTCAGTAAAATGTTCAATAAAAATGATATTACTCAAAATGATCTGATATTCTGTATACACATAGATGTTATTTACTGGGAGGGATTCAATATGGGTTTTATTCCGAGGGACAATATATTTTCCATTCAATGGGATTGGCTGTGTTATTCAACCTGAAAACTCCCACATTTGAAACATTGACTCAAAATGCAATTTTTGTGATAACAATAATGATAGAGTATGACGTACACTTTATTTTGTAAATTCTAAAATATATAAAACAACAGCTATAACATACATTTCACATATACTTTTACAACAAACTTATTTGTAATAGTAAACAATTATAAAAATATTTAGTTGTGTACGTATATATTGACCAAAATAATCAAAAAAACATTCATCACAGTGCAAAAATATTGAGAATTTGACCATAATGATAAATAATCTAACATATCTTGTTGTGTTTATCGTCGTGTTTATCCTAGAGAAAAATTATCATTGTGACAAGTTAATAGTACAATAACGTCATTTCTGCGTGCAATATAGTGAAATATTGGACCAAGGGCCGCGGCCCTTGGTCCAATATTTCACTATTTTGCACGCAGAAATGACGTTATTACTATTATTACCACCGTTAATGACCAGGGCTGAAATAGCAAATTTGAAATAGAAAATCTTACGCACTGAACGATATCACTTTTCCCGGGAAACATAGCCGGGCGGATAATGTCATTATTGCCCGACTAAAGTCATTAACGCCCGACACAATATTGCTCACGTCAATATAGCAATTTAAATGCCTTCTCAACTAGTACTAAAACCTCTAGAACAGGCCCTGCAAGGTGGTAATAATAAGTACACACGCTATTCTTTACTGACCATCACTTGTCCTTCTACATGTGTATATGAGTGCAGGTTTGAAAAATCAGATTGCATACTTTTGAATACCACAACTATTAAGCATATTGCACTGCTTGTTGGTGCACAAAGTGTGTGGTGTACATGGTCCATACAATTTCATATAAAAAGCGTTATGTGAATTCTATTAGTGAATGCCTCATTGTTATATAATTGCAAAGTACAATAATACTATTATGCCCTAAAAGACAACCATGTTGTAAGTTTCTCTGCCATGTTTTATATATGTTTAATGGCATCAAAAAGTAAAATACAACATGCATTAGACTTAATACAATGTACATGTTGATCAAAGTGACTAGCTTTTTAAAATAACAAATTTTGAGAAGCTTTGATCAAAGTGACTAGCTTTTTAAAATAAAAAATTTTGAGAAGCTTCAAACTTGAACACAGCGAAAGGTATTATATGTGACAACATTTCCATTACAGAGGAGTAACCATTTGTAACAATGTCTAATGCTATCACTGAATGGAATAATACAATGAATGTACATATATGGAACTTCAACTGAACAGGGTATCGAACATCCTCAATAGGAGCTCTGAGTGATAAGTTTAATAGTTTATATCATCCCTGTACTGAATTTATACCCTTGTAGTCCATGTGTACCACCACTCAAACTATTCGGATTGGAGCTTGAGATCCTATTGGAATGTTCAGGGAATGTATTTGGTTTGTGAAATGGACGGTAGTTGTCTGCCAAGGGTATAGCACCTTGTTGAAGCAAAGAAGCCACTGTCTTGAAGTGGAACTCTGTTAGTTTATTCAGATCTTTCAGCACTGGAAATGCAACAATAGTTTCTGTTAATATCTTAGGATATATTCTCTTAATATCTGTTAGGACAGACAAGGATATGTTTAAGTTGACCTTAAAATGATAATATTTAAGGTGAGCCTTGAAGTATAAATTTTTCTCAAGTAATTAAACCAACTTTTCATTCATTCTTTCCGAGCAGTTAGACAGCATGACCTAACATAGCATAGCAAATATGTTTGAAAATGATCAGTGATAGTACAATGCAATTGTTACATAAACATTACAAACCATGAGCAGTGTAGGGTTTATCCTGTTGCCTATGGCTGAATACTTTTTGTAAGAAGCTGATCATAGCACCACTTGCCAACACCTGCTCCTGTGCAGGGAGATTCTCAAAGTAGTCGAAATCCACTTCAAAAGGATTTATAGGTGGAGGGTAGGTGCATAGTTTCACCAGCTCAGCTAAAATATCCCACAGTTTTATATCTAAAATAAGAAAATTACAGCAATTCAAAAATGTACCTCTTAATTTTGAATGTATTGATGACTATGGATGAAACAAACAGTGAAATACTAGGAAGAAAACAGGTTTGTGGTAATATTGGTAAATTCCGAATGGTAAAAATTGTATTTGTGATTCTAATACTATACTATCTAGTATATTGACCATTTACTTTGGTCGATGTACCTTGTTTCAAACTTCCATAAAACCATTGAATTAAAGCTATTAAACACAATATAAAAAGATCACAGAAACAATCAGACATGGCCTATGACCGTTTTATTTTTTCAAAATATTGAACTTTGAATATCTTAAAAATTATAACAACCTTTTTTCTTCCCGTTTACATGGCAATTATATAACTGGCATAATATTCAAAATGAGAATTTATTATTCAGTGCATGGCTAATTTTGACCCAGTAAACAATAATTACTGTATCCTCTCTAATGAGCACACAGTTCCAATGAGCGCACATGCGACTTTTATGATGAATATGGTCTCGAGAAAACACAACATTTAATGCATTAGTTTCGATTATGTACAGGGTGTCCCGAAAGTATGGGGCCCCCCCTAGGCAGACATATTCCAGTGTCCTCATAGTATGTGTCATATATCATTTTAAAGCTTATCCAAAGTTACATTGATTTGCCAAGTATCATGGTTTAACTCTCAAATGGGAAAAAGTTACAGTCATTTTAAAAGTCAGTGTTTTGTCAAAATAAAGTTCAATTTTACACCATATTACTAGTCAATATGTCCCCCCTTGGCCATGTTAACAGCAGCAATTATTTTCAGATATGACCTTATGAGCCCTTCAAATAGGGGTGTGCAATTTTATAACCCTCTTAAAACATGTTAAGGGACTTTAGAAGAGTTTCCTTAGAGTTTCTACCCTCACCGTTCTCTTTTTCCAACTCAATATCCCTCCGACCCGAAAAGAATTGCTGCTGTTAAGGTGGCCCGGGAGGACACATTGACTAGTGATTTGGTGTAAAATTGAACTTAATTTTGACCAAACACTAAATTTTGAAATGCCTGTAATTTTTTCACATTTGAGAGTTGAACCATGATACTTGGCGAATCAATGTAACTTTGGATAAGCTTTAAAATGATATATGACACATACTATGACGACACTGGTATATGTCTGCCTAGGGGGGGCCCCATACTTTCGGGACACCCTGTATACAACAAGATATCGATTGATGATTATATTTTTTTCTAAATGTTTTGTATGTGCACTTATCGGAACCTCTCAATATCTTACCCTTTTAAATTTCAATTTGGGAAGCGCATTGAGCACTCATTTGGGAGAATATGGTAACTTAAATTCTTATGAACCACAATAGGAGATCTATAAAAATAAAATGATCACAAAATTGTACCTTCTTGAGCCCACTGTAGAGTTGACTTGAGTCTCAAAGGGCTATCATTGTCTGCATTGCCATCTAGATATTTGGCCAGTCTTGCATGGTTGGCTCTCACCCAGACATATGGGTTATTGTAGCGACTGTATCCTGCTATGAGGAATAGAGTGGAATTTTCATCCTAAAGCAACAAGCAAATATTTTGATTATTGTTTTTGAAAAATCAATGAGATATATGTGCAGTAAAACCTGTCTAAGTGGAACACCTTTGGTACCTGTAAAATGTATTCCACTTGGGAGGTGTTCCACTTATAGAGGTTCATATAACATCTATAAGTCAGTTGAGCTATTCCAACTTCTAGAGGTGTTACACCTTACTGGTTTCACTGTGCTCACTATTTGGGACATATCAGTGTGGGTAATATCCACTCGACAGTAGCCCCAGGCAGATGAATTTATCTAGACTCAATTGTAAAATTGAAGTGCCTTGCCACATTGTCGAACATGAAAAAAATGAAATGTACACTTAAGACAAATGTATTGTCTCTTATTTCACTTATTGATATCCGAAAATAGATATTAAATATCATGATAATGATTAATAAGGAATTATTCTACTATAATTCAATAATTTTCACGAGGGAGCGCGTTTATTTATTTGTACTTCCATTTTTGCTTCGTATTTGAAGTGCTTCACATTTGATTCAGAACATATTTATTTCTTCACTTGTACCCAATGAGTCAGCACACTCAAGACTGCCATAATTACAACAACTCAGATCAACCTCAGGCCCAGAGCAGTTTGACCTGGCCAAAACAACCCTAAATTGTAGACAGTTCAGAGAATGAATGAAACAGCCTATTAAATAAATCGATATAAGACAAATAAAGACAGCATAAGACATAATCTGAATGTGGGGTACATTATCCCAAAAATTGGAACTCCAATTCACTTTTCAAAATCACAAGGCTGCTCACTTTACTGGATGTATGATTTAAAGTCCCCATTTTGAGGTAAACTGATTTTTGGCCCCATACAATCCGCTGTTTAAAACCACATACAGTGTACAGTTAAATAGGTGTAAGACGTGGAATGACAGTTTTGTTGAAAATCATTCCACTTGGTGTTTTCAGAGGTGTGGTGTTAAGATATTTTGGGTTAATGGCGTACAGGTATGTATGTAGGGAAATCATACTGCTAACTTTTGATACTGTTATTCATCAATTGTCTACTTACTGCCATCGATATTTCCCTGTCACTAGGGGAGGCTGGTGGTAGGCCAACACCCTGGTCCCCGAGACCACTCAGATTCAACTGTGTCCTTGCAGACAGCAATAGAGATCTCCTAAAAATGCACAAATAAACACATTCACTCAACAAGACACACAATAAAAATTTGCACTTTTTATTAAAAAAATCAAATGCCTAATGAGTAATTTCTTCAGAATGCCCAAAACCTAATCAGATCTTGGCCCTTTTATGCTCTTGAGTCTTTAAAATTCAAGTTGAGCACTCGGGTAAGCAGCTTTCCTGGAATTCTGATAATTAGTCATGATAAACTGATCTAAAGTGCAGATTTATGTCCTATATTATGCATCTGGCATTTTTTAATTCTTTAATGTTTCTGGTATTTGGAGATATAATTGTCTTTAATATTTGCATTAATTAGGCTATACACATGAAAAGGGCACCATTCGTTGGGCTCACATGGTGGCTCTATATAATCATAATCATGAATACATGTAAATAAATAAAATATCATGTAAAATTGTATGTGCTGATTCTTCCAAAATATGGCAAAGGAAGAAGCTGGAACCATTAGTGAAAATTATCAACTTTCATAAATGAGACATGAGTATTGGTTTAGACAATAACTAGTTTTCATTTGTCCAAAAATTGTTCATGGTCAGACAGGTGGATGTGGAACAATTCCATCATAAGCCAATAAGACAGGTATATTCAAGTGGAGTAAGAATTTCTGAAATAATGAAGCAAAGAATTTCTGATGTAAACTTACTTATCATAGGGCAGATTGCTGGATGTGAGACTGTTTGAGCAGGAGGATGTCCTAGGTTGTTGTTCACCATGACTAGGGACTGGTTCATTGGTGTAGCTGTTATATGGCACCTGGACATAAAACAAACAGTACGATATGGTACATGTCATTTCTGGTTATTTCAGAGCATGCCACAATCACGTGAAACACTTTATATGTGCTAATGATTGTTCAGCAAGTCAAAGTTCAAGGCAACTGGTTGTGTTTATACAATGGCCAGTTGTTCCAGTTGTATCTGCAATATTAGCAAAGGTCAGAACACAGTGAGGATAGTGACCATTAGGGTGAAGATGCAATTGAGTTGAGTGACCAACAATATTGGTCCTATTCCGATTGCAGAAATATCCAATTTACAATTTTTCTTCAAGTAATATTTGGTACTTACTCCTGGTTCATTCATAACGCTGATCATCATTTCTTCTCTACCCCGCATATACATGACAAAGTGACGAAATCCATTGATTGATCCAGTCTGGAGCAGCTCTCCAAGGAACTGATTCAAACGCTTCTTTAGCTGTTTTTCCTTCTCCTAATAAATACAAACAAAATATAGTCTAGTTGTTCAGAGTGACTGCACCATTGCATGTACTGAAAGTGTCAATGATGAACGGATAGGCGTAGCCAGGTGGGGGGGGGGGGGGGGGGGTGCGATGGGTGTGATCACCAACCCCCCCCCCTATAACCAAAAAAATAGAACCATTAGATTGAAGAAAAGAGCTTTAAAATGCTTTGTATTTGAAGCTTCTAGATCTACATGTAGCTCAATTTTGAAGGAGGTTGCATCAATTTTTGTAAAATTCAAAAAAACATTCCACACATCATCTACATCTTTCATTCTTGCACAAAGATGCATAAGTGTACCTAGACTATTAATTGAGGGTTGATAATTCTTCAGAATGTTTAAATAACTAGAATAGATAGGCTAATTCAGTTTGACTTTTCAAAATAATTTTAAAAATTGCAAAAATAGTCCACTCTAAATCATTTTTTGTTCAATTCCAATAAACCAGGTTATATTTTCAAGTGATACAGAGGTAGTATAACATTCCATCAACACTATTAACTAATTCAATTTTAACAAGTATTCGGAAATAATAACAAAAACGTAGAAAAATACAAAAATATTGAAAATCATTACCGCCGCCATTGTAGTTAAATAAAGACGTTGTTTCACGAATCACGAAATTGGACGCCTGTCATAATCTAGATGCATGAAATAGCAGCCAAATAACTTCAAACATGTTTTAGCACTTTAGTCACAACATATACTCTAATGTAGAATGTATTTTAACGTCTATCACTTTGACTGTCTCATATTCAACATGTTTTAATGGCAGTCACACAAGTCACACAATCAAACACGTCTCCAGACTCTCCACAATGTCAAGTGAAAATAAAACTCACGAGACTTTTTCGAAAAATCGGGGTTGTTTGAAAAAATATCGGAAAATCTGGGTTCTTTTTCTGAAAATCGGGTTCTTTTTCTGAAAATCGGGATTTCTATCAAAAAATCGGGGGAAACTTGAATCAGGGTTTCTAAAAATATCAGGAAAAATCGGGGTAACAATAACTAGATATTAGGCTATAGAAAATAGACTGGGGAGAAAATCTGGATTGCTAAAATCAAATCGGGAGAAAATCAGGGTTTACAAGAAAAAGAATTAGATAAATCGTGAGTTAATAATAAAAAATCAGAGTCTCCACTTGAAAATCGAGAGTTCTTATCGAAAAATCGGGGGGCTGAATTTTAAAGTCAAAACTTAAAGGTCAAACATCATGCACTGTTTAATGTCTCGAAACAGCGCATTAAAGCTTAGATATCGACAAGTTGCTTTCAATATTGATGAATGGAGACAAGAAGTAATTCAGCGACATTATGACATGATATCTTACTTTCAATAATTGCTTCACATGCTATTAGTATTTGATATATGATCATCACAACAATGAGCATTATTGTTACACCGTTGTAGAACTACCATCAAATCCTGATTAGTGTACAATGGCACTTACTTTAGGCATCTACTAAAGATAGTACGAGATTTTACAATAGAGTCAATAGAGATAGCAAGACAGTAATGAATGTGTTTTCCCATAGGCAATATATTGTTGATGGTCGTAACTCGTAATCGTATAACCGTTTTCATGAGAACCCATTATCTATGATTACATACAGTACAATTTTGTCAATATAGATTTAAGTCTGTAAATCCAAATGCAGTATTCAACAGAGCCACAGCAAAGGGAAACAGATTGAATTGATAAAAATATGTTACTTTCCCATAGGTAAAACTCACGCGGTCCATTGTTTTTAGCCTAATTTGGTCACCAATATATCTTTCAACGAGAAAAACAAGATATTTTTTTAGAAAATAAGTCGAATATCTTAAAAATGAGGTAATCTATTATATACTATACATTCATGGTTTTCGAATTGATAATTCTATTATCCCGGGGACCTCATTGAGGAAAACGTATTACTTTAACGACATCGTGGTAAATTTATCATGCGTTTTTTCTGAATAGTACTTTCTAAGTCATTTTGATCCTTTTTAGGCAAAGGTAGTCAAAAGCGAACCACCGGGAGCTAACCCCAGATGGAATTCTTTAAAAAGTGAACCCCACCCCTTGGCAAATCCTGGCTACGTGTCTATGTATCCAATCTTTTTAATAAAAAATGACATAGACAATATGGCTATCGCAGTCCTCATATTACAGTGTTTCTGTCTCCATTTTCAAGTAATGCACCAAAATACCTTGCCTACCAATAAGATGTATGAACTTAGTCGCAATCTACTTAATTAACCTATAAGGCAGTGAGCAAACTTCATTATTGGATCAAATAATACAAATCAGCAGAAATACAAGAAATAATCCCAGATCGTGTTTACTTTGTAAAGTCAATAGTCTAAAACAATGTGATGTTCTTGGTAAGTAGTGGTACTACATTAAATATAACTTTTTTGTACCTGGATGAAGCGACGATTCAACTCTGACTAAGGGGCTCTATTTTCTGATGTCCATGTCAGACTGCTTCTTTGAACTACTAAAAGACGTCTCACATGGAGTCAGTTTCTGAATGCTTCTTATGAAGTCTTTCGCAAGTTTTTTGATAGTTTAGGGTAGCAACCGCCTCAACCTTTCTTTATTACAAGGGGAGAGTTCCGGGGAGAGTTGAACATTTTACGGCCGGGATCGTTTTCAACTTTAGGGCCACATTTTGAATATTTCTTTCAAAAACAGTCCATAAAATACCCCCGCCCCCAGGCAGGTCAAGTAATACATTCTGATGAAAATGATCATGAATTTTGCACCAATTGAAAAAGTTATTGGTAATTCAATTATGAGCTGACCCCTTCAGCAGGAGCGAGCAGTAGGAACCTTTAGGAGCGCAGAATGAACATATAGTGGATGTTTTAATGCAACCCGATGACAAATCAAATATGACTCTAATTACAGATCGAAGCATTGATTTCTGAGGGTAACTGACAAATCAAATGTTCATAAAATAAACATTGCAAGACAAACAACTCGTCGTAATCGCTCTCTTAGTTCATCAATATATGGATTTCTAAAATTATGAATAAGACCTTTTACCGAAGAGAACATTGTATTTACTTAAGACGAATTCATTTCAGGTTCAGTGATTTATAATAGATTAATATCAACAGATCATCAGGATTTACGATAGCGGTAGAGTTAACTGTAGATAATTCATAAAGTAGATAAATCCTCAATAAAAAGGTTACCATAACACACCAGGCCACACATCAAAAGAGGACGAATGGAGAGTCAACAATATGCAGAAAACTGTGAGTTTTTGATTGTTTCTAAAACATTTTACATTTTGTTTTAAAGATTTTTGTTTTACCATATTTATTTTATTTTTTAAGTAAGTTATTGTGCTAAATTATCATAATTATATAAATAAACAAGAAACGTTCAATGTTACATCCATGTGTCGTTGCGTAAAAATCTTTAGTTCACCAAATATCTATACTTTTCAAGAAATTATATAGCTCATTTATTATCATGTAGGCCTAGTTCCCAAATAATCTGGACAAAAGAACACTTCTTTTTAATTTTGATTGAGAGTTTCTTTTTAAATGATACAGAAAATACAAGAAAACATAAAGTAAAAGCTTTGTGTGAAAGAAGTCCATTAATTTAAGTGCTAGCCTATATTAACAATGAACGTTAAAGATCTATCTGAGGACCTTTAGAAATATGAAACCACCGGATTCAATGCTTAACAAATCTGACATCTAATGGATATCAAGATCTATAGCAATTTACAAAGGTATCTTAAACTAAAACATGTTTAATTCATGCATTCAATTTTCACAAATTCTGATTTTCAATTTTAAGAGTTCTTTTTTATTTGTTTCATGATAATGTATTGTGATATGCAATCCTAAAATTCTCGTGAGACCCAAAATTCACAAAATATGAGGGCATGAGTTTTTGAGAAAAATTGAAAACAAAAAAGTAGACCCTACATAAAATATACATGATTTACTGTAAATCAGTAAGTACTAATTAGACCTGCATAATTATGTGCACACCAAACTTTGATGTAATATCTGTTTACTAGACTTATCAATATTTTCAGGTTGTATTTGGATAAAGAATAAGCCAACATCAACATATAAACTCAACTGACAAATCAGCGAGAACTTGATTTCTAGCATTTATTATAGCAAACTTTGATGTCAGGCATAGTTATTGTAGTGGACTTTGATGTCAGGCATTTGTTATTGTAGTGGACTTTGATGAGATGTCAGGCATATGAAGAGGAATGATTTCTGGCATATTCATTATTGAGGATTTTGATGTCTTGCATATATCAAAGAGGACCTCGATGTCTGGCATATATTATTGTAAAATATATGATTTCCGGCATATATGATTATAAAGGACTTTGATTCCCAGAGGTTAGTCTCAGTGAAGGAATTATAGCCTAAGCTACGAAGAGACTGGTAGAACAAAGACTAAAGAACAACATGCTAGAGTTATAAAAGTTGTATATAATTTGAAGTTAACCAAAAAGTCATAAACAAATTATGAATCAGGCCAGGGTACATAGTTCTCAGAGGCGGGTCAGATTGGAAACAAGACGTAAAACAACTCAGTTATTTCAGATGAACAAAGACCTCACCAAACAATGTAACACAGCAATTCTTCAACTAGAAAAGGACAAAAAGTTGTTTCAAAGACAAATGACTCGTGCCCAGAAAGACATACTTAAACGGCAAGACAAACTACTAGAACGACAGCGAAACATTGAAAATGACAATTTAGAAAAACATAAGGCTACAGCGTTGGCGAAACAGAAAAGGGAACTGTTGGATATGACTCGTTCAAATCTCCAAAGTGCACCTGGAGGAAGCCAGGAGTGGGAGAAAATGGAGAGAGGGCTTGGAGAACGCAGTGCAACGACGAGCGAACGGGGCCTAGATTCTCGACTAGACTTAAGATTGGGGCAAAACACCCCCGGGCCAAGACGACAGAGCATTGTGACCCGGCCTTTATTAAGGATGCCTGGGGCCCCAATTGAAAGGGCAGGGGACAGAAAAATACATGGCCCATCCCAAGTGTCTTTACTGTTCATACCAGGCAGAATAACCTAATAGATATACATTTACTCGTCTGGCACATACAAACACTTTGAAAAAGCCGGGGACCGGGTTCTTAATTCGGGGGTCTAAAAATATTGAAAAACGGGTACAGCACTTAGTTTAATTTTGTATATTGTAGTTTGTAGTGACTAATATGTCATTGCAATGACATCAGAGAGTCAATAAAAGATATATATATACCTAAAAACCGGAACACACTATTTGGGAAGTCTTCAGAGAACTGAAAAATAAACCACTATGTGTTATACTCCAAAAAGATGACAGCGCTAGAACCAGGGAATTACGATGATCTTAGTCATATTGTCCTTGTGATTTAAAATTGCCACACCTCAAGTACACAATTTTTATGCTAATTATTGTCACTTTAAAATGTCGTTTTTACCAGGATGAAATTCACACAACTGAGAAATCAAAGTGTTGTACTTTAAACATTTTTAAAATCCCAATCCCCCATGAAGGTTTTGACAAGATGAAATACCCACTCCCGGTACCCGTGTTTTTCCAAACCACATGTTCTTCTGCTCAAGTACGTACTGAGCAAATTTATAAAAAATATTTCATACATATTTAAAGAAATGTGAGCTTCTAAATGCCAATTATTTAATTGTGTATGCAATATCTTTAAACAATGACGTAATATTGACATTAGAGATCCATTGTAATTTCTAATCAATACAAGGCTTTCACACGTTCATTAAGTAAGTCGAGTGATGTTAAATATAAAGAGTATATTAGCTGTCAGTTAGAAAATATTGATGAACTAAACTTAACTAATACACAGCCAATCTCAAACAGCACTGTTTCTCAATCAGTGCTTGGTAATAATGGGGTTTTGGGGTTTAAAGAACATTAACTATTCCCACACTACGGACAGCCATTGATTTATTTTTCTATTACTTTATTGTTGAAAAACATTGATGATGTACGAATCTCTTAATAGCATCCTCGAAAATTCCACCCATGTTTCGATTACCAAAATATCACACGAATGCAAAGATATACAAGGCATTTGTATGCAAAATGCCACCACCTGCCATTTGTTTCAGACGCAGAAGACCAACCGCCGAAAACAAACCGCCGAACATCGTCCACAAAAAAAGTTGGAGACTAGAACAAGATGTTACCACTTGTGCTGGTGATATGGAAAATATCGAGATTTAATTTTCTTTGATTTGTTATACAGTTATAAACTATTTTATGAAATCATTTGTAAAAGGCTATATTCTTTGGATTTGTTGCATATGGTTACTGAAAAGTTTCTTATGCTTTGCAAGTTTATGTAGTTTGCCAAAATGCAGCTTTGTCGTGGTCGTGGTTATTATTTTTTGATCTAGAATCTTCATAAAATGAATTTTACCTCAAAAATCCAAGGGATGTTCTTTTTAAGAATGTGAACACTTAAAGTAGTACTCATTTGAGGTGACACACATTTTAACCAGTACTTAGACTGTATTCAGCGTATTTGCTTCGCCATCGTTAAAATGCGGTGAAATGATATAATGGAAATACGATCATTTCCAGTGTAAGAGGTTTTGTGCCCTTTTGAATGACTTAATATTGGATCAAAATACATGTAGTCTTTGTGAAAAGTTAAGAACCCAGGTTAAGAAATGTCCTATCATTTGCAGTCATTGGGACAGATATCCCTCAAAATCTGAACACATAGGCGTCGTTGGTGCCGATGTCAGGTCTATATTAATTGAAAAATCTTGATATCCAGAGAATTTCTTTACCCTTGAGCTATTAGTCCGACTGCAGGACTGACTTCTCCATATCAACATTGCATATTACTAGTATAGTACAGAATTATGTAATTTTGTGTATGCCTACTTATATTGCCTACTTTCACGGACCCAACATATACCTGTCTTTCCAGGTTGTCAAATAACTAAATATAGAGAATGTAAAAGTACTCTTAATAAATGTATTTGAAAGTTGACATTAACATATTTTTAGTTGTGGAAACAGTTTTAAAAAGAATACATTTTGTAAACATGTACATATTATCAACAAGTGTAAATTGGATACAGTTTAATACATCATGGGTAAACAATTTATGGACGGATAAAATATAAACAGTGATTTAATACTCATATGTAAAATAACTAAAAATAAACCATAAAACTGGACGGATTTTGGTAGATTTTGATGGTATTTGAATTGAAACTCGTTCTTTAAGTTCTTATTTGATTTCAAATTCAGCATCTACCCCACTATAACTGACATATCAGACATATACTAACTTAGAAATCTATCAATATTACCTCATTAAGTATGTGTTTTTCTTATTCAGTAATTTCATTTTGCTATCATTTGTCAGATTATAAAAATTTCCCTTAATGAAAAAATGCTTTTTTGGAAATAATCTTGTTCTTTATAATGATTCAGGTATGGTTGAACAATATTGATTTTATTTTCCTTTCTTATGGCTCGAACAGTTTGCATTCTGGGTAAAGGTTGCTATTTCTTGGTATTATCTTCTGGGTAATGAAAGTGGCCTTCGGGAGACAATTCATACAGACAGGATTTCTGGGACCATAATTTTTTAGTATAGGTATCACGTTCATTCAGAAAAAGTTCAGAAAGATGTCACTGTCATTTTATAATTGTAGTAGTTTATAACAGTGCCGCCCCAGCATGACACTTCACTGCATTGAAGGATTCATATATCATGACTGGAAGTAGAGTGTACTCAAGTCTATAGATGTCACTTTTGTATTTTAACCTGAAGAGGCATATCCCCGTAGCATAATATTGTACTGTTCTACTATGTCTCCGCGCACTGTCACTAGAATATTCGCCTCAGCTGGGTTATTGGGCTGCAAATAAAGTTATCGGAAATTATTTCAAAATACAATCTGATACACCTCTAAATCGTCTTTGAGAACAAATAGGAACTATGTGTATGAACCAGGTACATAGAGAGGGTGAATAATTTGGAACTGTGAACTTGGTGCAGATTAGAATGTGCACCATGTGAACAGATTTTGTAAAGTATCATCTTCATTTATTTATACATTTCTGGAAATATTTTCCATTCAATTTTCAGTGTTTGAGTATTTTCTGGAATTACAGACGATTACTTTGAGTAAAAATATCTTGAAACCACACCTTTGAGAAAAGAGTCTCCGAGGACTGTTAATGGTGGAGAAACTCTGACACATTACATATTTTCAAAACTCATTATTCACTATGTAATATTAAATATATCCAAATAAAATGAACTTAAAACATGTTCTCTTACATCATAACCCTGAGTGGGAGTCCAGGTGACCTTAATAGGCTTCTGCTGACCCGCTTCAACTTGACCCTGAAAAAACAAAATTAATTATGATCAACTGAGGCTTTGCTATCTAACTTTGAAATATCATATAGTCTCTTTTAAATGAGAATTTAGATTACCCATTAGCACATTGGACGTATGTGTATAACTTTCTCCTAAGATTCAATTTTCAGTTATAACTGCCATCTTTTTATATCTTTTATGTTTTTTATGAGATCATAGCTGAATAATGCAATAATCAAAAAACTGATATTACTGGCCATTTTTTCATGACACATGTGAATACTATCAGTTATCACACGTTTCAGCATGTGATACAGGAAATATTCCACGAAAGGTAACACTGTATCACCCACGAAAGCGAAGCTTGAGTGGTGATACACTGTTATCTGAGTGGAATATTTCCTGTATCACATAAGCTGAAACGTGTGATGACGATTTTATCACATGCTTAGGAATCTTGAAGCATTTTGCTTTGGTCAATTATGATTGTGTTCAGTACTGTTACTCCCGGTAACTAGTATAATTTTAGTGTTGTGAAATTTCGCTTTGAAATAATATGACGTCATACCGTTGAATCCTTTCTTGTTCGTGAAATAATATGACGTCAAATGAAAGAATGGAATGTAGTTGTATGACGCCATTTCGTTACCATAGACAACGTGCGGTACATGTGCTCGTATCATATGAAAAGTATGTGATACGGGAAATACGTCATAGAAAGCAACCAATCAAATCACTAGTATTCTACATAGTATGTGATAATGTACAGTACCACTTGTAATTGGTTTTTATCAATTTGCTAGAGAAAATAATAACAAAACACATTGATCGAAAAAAATATTTATAATTCCTGATATCTTACACTCTTGAGCAAAAGCAAGGTACTTGATGATTTGTATACACAACCTTTAAATTCAGATAAAGCATTATAAACATGAGACTTCTATGGCATTCTTAACTCACCTTAACAGGATCTATAGTGAACCCCTTTAATTCAATTTCTTTGGTGTTTTCAAACTGGAATTCACCATTCTAAAACAAGAGATGAATATTGATTATATGATGCCATGTTACAATACACTAAATCAATACAATGAACCTGTCACTGAACATAAATTAAATATGATAAAGGCAAATAACTCAAGCAGGTGTTGTAATATAAGCAACAATAATCAGCATGATGATCTGAAAAATATATATTTTTTAGAGAATCAAAGCATGTGAATTTAAGCTTGTGCCTTATGAATATTCATAAATAAATGAGTACTATAAATAATATAGTATAGGATTTGAACACAACATGATAAAAAATATTTTCTCAGGTATCAATAATTATGTATTTCTAACCTAGGAGTTCACTCTGGGATGGACATGCATTCACACATGGTTAGAGGGGAAGTGAATAAGGGAATTTCATTGGATGGTGAAGTTACTGATGACATACACCATAAGGTTCACAAACTGTTTCATCAGAATCATTATACTCAAAATTAAATTTTGTTTTTGTTCTATTTATTGATAACATGACTGAATATTCATGGGTGTGAATAAATTTTAAATTTTGAATGAAAATTAACATTTGATGAAGACAAAGTTTTTTGGAAAAGATGAAATTTCAAAAATCTTCAGAGTTGAATGTTCAAATATCAATTTTCAAGTAATATTTCCAAATTGACAAGAGGATGATTATTACTAGTATCTAGTGAATATATATATGCGGGAAGTGACATCACTCAAGCCAATGGCAGTGTTTATAATGTGATAACTCCCTTTCGGGCATCTACTTGTGACAATACATTGTCTGTCTACTGATTCTAATATACACACATCATCGTCTTCATCTTCATCTTCGACATCTTGAGATCCCCCCTGAACTAACACAGATCTAAGCGAGAAGCTTGAATCTTTGCTTTTCAAAGACAGCTTAGAATCTTGCTTAGATTTAACAATGGGGTCTTTAAAGAGGGATCTGGTAGAGTCTCCCCTGCCTAGAGATACTCTTGAACCTTTCATGTTACTTGAATCCTGAAGCTAGCAGCGGGTCATACACAATACACAGTTAAATCATGGATGATAATTTAAATTATGGATAATCAACAGGGAAGAGCATTTCAAGCAAACAACAAGTACAATATACAAAGCAGAATTCAAGTATAATTTAACTACACGTGAAAGCAAAATATAAATATAGGCCTAGTAAGAGTTTTCAATTCTCCTGATTTAGAATCATGCATTTGCAAATATTTCATGATCTAAATTCTCAAAATCAAATTCTTCATGCCTTTCAATCAACTTTTAAAGCAATAAAAAGTACATTTTATGAACTGTAAATAACACACATGCGAAAGCTTACATTCAATTAATACTCTAACTCATGAAAGAACCAACCTTGTATTCGCAAATGCAACTTTAGGCTGTTGGCTACTAGATTGACCTACTATTTTATGGCAAACTCATTTAAATATAAGTAGTGCCTACCACTGTTCCATTCATATTTAAATGAGTTTGCCATAAAAAAGGAGGTTTATCCGGTAGCTGACAGCCGAAAGTTGCATTTGTGAATACAAGCTTAGATATATATAGCAAAAATCAGGCAACATGAAGCAAAATACATACAGTTAAACCTGTGTAATGGAACACCTCTAATACCTCAAATTAGATAATTAAAGTATGACCATTCGTTAAAGCACAATATTTGGACATATATTATTTTTACATAGACAAGAGAATGGTCCAGGTGACCATCCAAGCATTAGAAGAAACACTCCTGACAATGACACCTTAATTGTGAGAATTTGAAGACACATACTAAAACTTCCCCCATTTGTTCATCATTATAGATTCTCATTATACCTCAAAATATCACTAGATACCTTGGAACAATCCACAATTCCTTTTTAGTAAATGGTCTCATTAAGTAAATGGCTAACAGTCTAGTGGGACCTATTCGGGTGTTCCACTTACAGAGGTGTTCCACTTACAGAGGTGTTCCACTTACAGAGGTGTTCCACTTAAGATTTTCAATGTATGGAATATAGCACATACGTTTGCAGAAACATTTATGATTTATGAAAGTTCAATCCACTAGCACTATTTTCAGAAAGGATTTTTACTCATCTTTCTAAATTCCAAATACCCATGAACTAGTTAAGGGAACTTTAAAAGATCACAAAGGTTTCAATAAAAATAGAGTTAAAGTTATATGGTTATAATTCACACTCTAAGGAAGCAGAGTTGGGATCAGACAACTGTACCTGTTTTCCTGGCTGTTCAGATATGACATCACACCACAGCAAAAACATGGAAAAATCAGTGCATTAAATATAAGAATCTAGCATGAAGATATAGTTTAATATTATGTGCAAAAGATATATTGTAGTGAATATCTCAAATGAATTATCTGATATTAACATATGAAGTCAAAATATATTGCATATGACTGACTACTGAATAAATATTCATATTCTGTTTAAACACATAAATGTAACAGTTTTAACTAATTACCCATTAATTTGAGAATTTATTTCCATAAAATAGAAATAAAATTGATGATTTCATGTTTAATACCAGACATTCAGTACTTGAGATTCTCACTAATAGTAGAGACACACATATGTATAATCTAATGTAAATATATGTATAATATGTATAAAGATTTGTGTTTTAATCCTAATATATTTAGGTTTTAAGTGCTCTAATGTAATGGGATTAATAGGATTTATTTTAAGAGATGCACTATGCTTTTCTTGGTTAAAACATTCTTTGTCATATTGTGTGTAAAATGTCTTATTGACTATGAATGTAAAAGGTCCTAGTCACAGTGTATGTACATATATGTGTAAAAGATTCTAGGCATTGTGTGTGCAAAATGTCCTATTGACTAAGTGTGTCAAAGGTCCAATTCACTCTTTGTGTAAAAGGTGCTTTTGACTATGCGTGTACAATGTCCTAGTCATGGTGTGTGTAAAAGGTCATATCCACAATTGGTGTAAAAGATCATAGTCGCTATATGCATAAAGGGTCATAGTAACTAAGGTCCTATTCATTTTGTGTGTAAAAGGTTCCACTTATTATGTGTGTAAAGGTCATAGTACACAGGCAAATTACATCGGGCCCCGTACGAGCCTAGAGAATTACGAGTATTACGGGCTAAAAGGAGCACCATCCTCGTACAGGCTCATACAAAGCTTGTTTTCGAGGCCTGTGCTAGCTCTTACGATGCTCGTAATTGTTGTTTTCAAGGCCTGTACGAGCATGTACAAGGCTTGTAATTTCGAGGCCTGTTATCGAACTCCGAACGAAAATATTAATTGCTGTCATGCTTCATGATTCACATATCTATCCAGAACATGCTGTGTATGTTTAATCATTTCAGATTGATGATTTTATTCACACATTCGATAACAATAACATTTATTTACATCACATTTCTACTTATTCTAATACCGCACGCAAATGTTTTTATATGCATTTACTTCACTTGTAGAGAAATATGGTGTCTCCTATTGGTAACTCTCCTGTTTATTTTGTTTCCTTGCTTTTATACTGTTTATCATGTTGATACAGGCATGCAAATATTTTGAAATTATTGAAGACATATTAATTCAAAATTACGATTTATTATGGGGCTCGTTACGGGTACCGTATGGTCAAGTACGGGGGTAAAAAATTACGAGCTATTACGGGCCTTGTAATCACAAGCAAAAATTACAAGCAATTATGAGAATCGTAACGAGCCCCGTCCGAGGTTGTACAGGGTCCGTTGACACAACGAGCTCCATACGGGCTTGTACAGGCTCCGATGTAATTTGCCTGTGTATTGTGCATAAAAGGAATGAAATCATATTCTGAGATACTGAGTTCATTTGTATGTAAAAGGAGAAACCTCTTAGTTTGGTGTTTGGAGGCTTAAACTGAGTTATTGGTTAAAAAGAGAAATCGCATCTGATCATGCAAATAAAACGTAATAATGAATTGTGTTGTTTGATAAATTCACCTGAGACATGCAAGATAGAAACCATAATATACAGAAATATCCTTAATTCAAACATATATTTAAAGCACTTAGACATAGAGGGAATCATTTTAAGCTGTACATATTGAATATTGATATACAGAAAAAGCTACATTTTTGCTCTCAAGTAAGTAAAGAAATGTCCTTTTTAGATGTGAATGTTTTTTAGATGTGAAAACTGAGAATTAATACAAATCATATAGTAAATAAATGTAAGTATATATTTAGATACTTTTCAGGCAAAGTTAACAGATATTTACTTGGAAGCTTGGATGACAATGAAATACATACACTACATATAGCAGAAGCTTTTTAAGGGGAAATTTCACATGATTTGAATTATAACAACTGATTAATTAAGACAGGGAAATGTAAATAGAATCAACACAACAGAAATTCAATACCCCTGAGTTTGAGTCAAATTAAACATTTTCTAGGAAGTACAGTTTGAATAGATATCCGCTTGTCCCTAAGAAACATATGTTATTGATGGACACAAACGTTTATTTTATGTTAATTTGAAATAAGAATTAAAAATTAAAATCAGAATTCAACACAGCTCATTATAACAAATATAAAACGACATCTGTTAAACACATTGGTTTTAGCCTTATACGTGCACTTATATTAAAAAACTACAATGGTAAAAAGGAATATTGGTCATTGAATACAGAAATTTTATGATAAGACAATTCATAGTTCTGACCTTTTTCTGGCTGACAGCCATTGTTCTAACGCAACCAATTAAGAACTCAGCCTCTCCGGGTTCAAAGGCTTGATCGCGGGAAATGCTGAATACATTAACCAGCACACACTGGGGCATCACTTTTGAATCTGCAATCATGAAAAATGATACAATAATCCTAATATGAGATAAGGGTAATGGTAGCACATTAAGAAGTCAATGGCAATGGTCCAACACTTCCTTTATGGCGTTGGCACACTTAGGCTGTGTGGGCTCACCATTTGCCACTGTGTGAATACTTTCGAGTAGAGAACAGGGAATGGCATGGATACACGATGGGCAAAACAAACGGTTTTGCAGCAAGATAGCCAAAATCACACAAAAAATAAAATTTATTAATTAAAAAATCTATTCCCAAAATTAGCCACATTGCACAATGTGGTGAACATACATCTAATGTGACAACAACTTTACTCAAATACAAATAATGCGTGGTTATACACATTATTATTTGAAAAATTTACATTTTTTCTGCATCCTAAATACTGCATCAGTCTTGCTATAATTATGATTGATTGATTATAATTGGAAATATTCTTGCTTACAATTTTGTCACTATTCTCTGGAATTCCAAATTGTACGAGAAGAGTGTAGAACTTGGCTATAATAGAGATACTACCTACCTTCATCATCATGGTCTGTAACTGGTAATACAGCTAGAGATTCTATATCAGGTGTAAGAGGGTCCCCACCAGTGACATACATTATATGAGGTTTTGCAACACCCTTAATTTGGAATACATGGGCTTCTTCCTATATAACAAACAATACATAAAAATAAAATCTGCATTTTTATAAACATAAAGCTCAGCTATCAACTTCTCTCCCTTTTAATGATGTAAAAACTGTGTAATTATTTGCAAGATATTACATCCATTCCATAGGACAGAGAAGCCTCATAGGGTAGTATTGGTTATTATAATTTAAAAAAAGTTTTATCTCAAACATTTGGAGATCTGAAATCTGTCCAATGCAATAACAGGTGTAAAAAACTTTTTCAGGGAATTATTAGGTTTATAAGGGCCGGTTTTCCAGGTAACCAAAGATAAGAGAGAAATATGAGAGAAATCGTACCTGTTGAAATAGTTCTATTCGTGCACCATCAGAGTAGTGTTCACTGGAGTGGTCAGGTGCAAATGTTACTACAATCTCGGTTTTCCCACCTGGAGAGTATACATGTATGTACATTCAATAATGTGCTACATGGTTTTTAGGTGTCAAATTTAAAGATCAGCCGTTTCTCTATTCTTGGTTTAGATCAAAATGATTTTCATTATGTGAATCTATTTATTCTTTGCATTGAAAAAATATCATATGATTTACTAGAGAACAGTAACGCCAATGTATAGCAAATCCCATCCAAGATGCCATTTTTACAAAATCCCTCCATTCGATGGGATAATAAAAAAGCATTTATTGGGGATATCGAATGTCTTACCCCCAGGTATAGTTCCACTTGCAGGTACACAGTCGAACACACTCTGACCATTGTTATTCTGTGTACCAACCAATGACATACTCTTCTTATCTTTGACCTTAATAAACTGTGGGAGGGCTTGAGCTCGACTATGCCGCAATAGTGAATTACTGTCCAGTTTTATACAGTACTCTATTGACAGCGTGGAGGTGTTTTCAATCTGAAATGAAATTACTTCACAATTATTACCAATTACTGGCAGATTTGAAATGGTCCCGGGAAATGGTAGCCTAGGAGCAATGCCCGCTCTATTAGTTGCCATTCCCAAGCATTTCCAAAAATACTGGCCTCATTTTTTAGAAATAACCTTATCTGAAAAATGGGCCTCAATTTTCAAATGCTTCCATAAATCCATAATGATATCAAGTTAGTCAAAAACCCATGAATCCGATCTCAAATCACGCAAGGGTATTCTAGATATTACGTGTAATTCAACCGGAATCAATGCAGATCTTTTTTCAACTGATGTTTTAATCAGGTTGAAAAACGCATTTATAATTGTTGTACATCTAATCTGTTTCATATCCAATATTTCAAATCTTCTTCACAGATGTTAGTTTAGACTATTCATAAAATCTGAGTATCACATTATTGAAAATTTCAATACCAAAATAGGAAAATAGGATAAGTTCCGCTATTAAAAAAACATGTTTGTAGACAACAACTTGGAGGAAGGTTAACTGTGCCATTACAGAATAATTTGCATGCCCAACGACAGTATTATGATAATTTAACTATTGGCCTATTCAAATCTTTTGAATAATAAGCACATGAAACACATAAAATTCAAGCAATTAAAATGTTGAAAAATACTGCAATATTCAGATGGTACAAATAATGATCAATTGCTTACCATGAATCAACTATTTTAAGAAGATCTAAGAAGACCTTTTGTTCATTATTATGGCGGCAATCTACTTTTTCAATTGAAAATTTTTCAGAAAACAGAAATATACCCCTGGTTGCCAGTAACTAATAAACAAAATCGAAAAATCATAAATGTAATATTTTTACCTTGAATGTCTGTTCACAGTACTCCTTCTCGAGGATGTGTCCCATGTCCAATTCATTGTTGGAGATCGACAGATTCACTATGGGACTGATACCCTTCCCCATAAGAGTGATAAACAAGGTAGACTCAGGGGCTTGGATCTCCAGCACCTCATAGAACTGAAAGTGTACATTTAACATGGGTCAGTTATATAAAAGTGAAAACTTGTGCGCATGAATCCCAATAAGTTAAAGGGTGACGCATATCGTTTAGCAAATCGAACGCTCGTTTCTGGTGTTGCTCACCGTTTAGTATAAAAGGCCCGATCCCGGAATAATACTCAAGGGTTCACAGGTTCGAGGTCGTTGTGTCAACACCTCTAACTGTTATATAGCATAAGTATATTATAGATCGTCACACATTTATAAAAGGGTGATTTTTATTTTGACAAATCAATTCCACATTTATGGGTGAAGTTTTAGGATCTTCTATTTGTGTATAATAAGGAAAAATTGGCATCTAAATTTCCCCATAACGTAATAGCACACAGCTTGGCATATGAAATATCAAGACAAACTGGTTTCTAATACAAGGATTTATATTGGCTGTTGTACATGTATTCTTTGAACGCAATCACTCTTTGGATAACGTTTTCAAAATCATTATAAACGGATTACTTTATCTCAAAGACAATTTCAATGAACTGGATTTTACAGAACTCCCCTTATTTCTTAAAAATGGACTGATCCAGTTGATTCGCCTGGAGCCGCCATATTGTTTTTATACGGGATGCTAATCGGAACCCTTTAAAGTATACATTTCAGACAGATTAACTTTGAATTAAATTAAAAACTAACAAGGCATTAAGATGCAAAATGAGACCACCTGCCATTTGCTACAGGTGCTGACACCAACAACTTTACACCCGGGGCTTCTTCTAGTTGAAAGCCTATGTTTACACCAACTGCAGACTTTAACAATATGTCACCATTTCTGGTGGTGACATAAAAATGCTGTTGGTTGGAATAAACATTTTCTAGTGCAGAATGCTATAAACATTTATTTTTACATGCATTGAAACGTGTGCAAATAGAACTGAATCATTTACATCATTTCTATTTTCATTTTACACCAAATATGTGGTCATAATAATTCTTAACATACTTTATCTCATTTTGTAGATAAGCATAGAATGCACGGCGGAATAAAGAGACAACTGGCTCTTGCCATGCCAGTTGTCGTGACAGGATTATCATTATATGTTATTACTAAGACCTGTCATAACAAAGAAACCATCATCAGCTACAATTCAAACAATAATCAAATGACGGTGTGCCCAACAATGTTGAACCTGTTGATATCATTCCCATGGATTGGGAACACTCAACTGCCAACACAACCACTGACACACAACAACACTGGAAGGCTTTGGCAAAGACAACTGGAATATCTCAATACTTTAAGATCCAACCTTCAACATGCATGTGTAGAATCTATTCATATTCTGATTGCCACTGAGGAACCCATTGATAGTATTAAACAAATGCTAAATGATGTTAATGTGAAGAAATTAAGTTTCCAGAAGTTGGGCTCACCAGAATGCTCTTACAAAGATTATGCTATGTACATCAACAAATTTCTCCTGAACAAAGTTGTAGCAGTCATAAATGCTGATATCGTACTTGGAGAAGGATTTCAAATGATTAAACCAGAATACGTAAAAGTGCAGAATATTGCCTACTCTTTAACGAGACATGGCTCAAACAGTAACGAGACATGTCAGTTGAAAAACTTCTGTTTGTCACCTTACAAAGGTTCACACGACACACATATCTTCTTCATAGATACACCCTTTAACGAAACAATACTTCAATTTCTCAACTACCCTGTCAATATAAATGGTGCAGAAAATCAGTTCATGTATGCAATAGTGACTCACTTGGGCAAAGGAATAAGTAATCCATGTGTAACATTACAAACATTTCATGCACATTGTTCAGAGGTTCGAGGTCATTTCAAAGCACGTATTGACGCTGGTGAACGAAAACAGTATAAACTCACTGCATTCCCAACTGACAACCTCACGAAAGTAACTCACACATTTCACAAAAGTTGCATATCTTGCTAATCATTTTTACAACATACAAAAGGATTATCATTTTCAAATTGTCAAGGATGTCTAAATGCAGCATCCGTATTAATGAGAGTCTTCTTGAATATATCCATCGAGAAACACATCGATGATAACAATGAAGAATACTGCAGCAGCTGTGGGGAATGTGATATGAATAACAATGGAATAATTGGTCAGTTTGTTACAAGACATAATGCAGATTATAAGTTGGATGCAGATTTCAAACATCGCATCACATCACAGATTGACTCGAGCAATAATTCACAATATAAAAATTTACACTAAAATCAATATTTGTTTCACTTGGATAATATAAGTATTGTAAGTTCTTGGGGGAATAATATATGAATGAAATAACAGGAAAAAGCAAGATGAGAAATTGCTGCTCAATTCTTAACAGATATTTTAAAGTTTTACTTGCTATCTTACTGCTAACACTTATTGTGCAGTTAGCTATGTTTAAGAAGTCCATGTTCTCATCGCAGGAATATTCTGCAAACCTGGCCACATTTAGGGATGGACATTTAATTGAAAATCCGTCACAAGAGAGTCCTATTCTACAAAAGTGGCGATTAAAATTGCATGGTCATTATCAAGAAAGGAAGCCATTGGATAGCATTTATTTTCTGAAGATACACAAGACTGGTAGTACTACTTTACAGGGAATAATTATGAGATATGGAGACACAAGAAACTTAACATTTGGTTTGCATTATGGACTTGCTAGTCTTGGATATCCCAAGCCTTTTCAGAAGTCATTCGTAAGACGCTTTAAGGACAACACTTCACGTCTTGACATTATATGTCATCATTTAAGGCACAGTGATGAAGTCTTCGAGGTCTTAAAACCCAAGGTGAAGGCTGTAACACTAATACGGAACCCAACATATAGCTTTATTTCAGCATTTAAATATTACCAAGCATGGAGTAGACGTTGTTTTGGCACGGGAAACATCGATGCATTCCTTTCGGAACCAGACAGGTACACCAGGGCCATCAACTACTCACGTGCATGTCAGAACAAACAGCTGTTTGACCTTGGTATGCAGCCCAATAATTCTAGAAACATTGTTGAAGTTATCAACAAAATACATGAAATAGACAGAACATTTCACTTGGTTATGATCTCTGAGTACTTCAAAGAAAGCCTGATTCTGCTGAAGCATTTGATGAACTGGTCATTTCATGACATAATCTACTTTAGTAAAAATGTTCAAAACAAAAAGACGGATCAAGTTGACAAAACTCACCCCCGAGCCTATAAAATAATAAAAGAACTCAACTCAGGTGATGAATTTATGTATCAGTACTACAACCGAACATTCTGGAAAATCATTGACATATTTGGAAGAGACAAGATGGACAGAGAACTTGCTGAATTCAATGTATTACAAGATGAAATGGAAGCTGTTTGCATTGAGGATGAAGTGGAGGGAAGAGATAAAAATGTGGAGCCACAATATAAAGCAGTGTATTTGACAAATAGAGTAAATGCATACATCTTAACAGAAGAAGGCAAAAATAATGAAACATGTCGGCAAATGTTGATGTACGAGGTCCAATATACAAATCATTTGAGGAAAAAAATGAGGGAAACTATTATGTAAGGTACTGTTAAATAAATATACTACTATACAGCTTATCGTTTAATGTTCATTTAATTGTCATATAGTGAAGTATGACATTGAAGCCCCCAGAAAATCAACATTGCTGTAATCAACAATTTTTTTAATAATGACATGTAAGTTTCAGTCCCAAAATTCATTGCTGACTATGGTAACAAAAATTGCAAAAATATATTTTTATAAACTTTTTGCATGCTTTTATGTGTTAACAATAAACCTTTTGCATATCTATATGCGCTCACAATAATCACATCATTATGAACACTGCTTCAATACCAAAGTGTAACAACTGTTCCAGACACTGACGAGTATAGTAAAAGGAATAAATGTCAGTCTAATGCATGCTTCTGGAGATTTGCAATAAGAAATAAATTGTAGGACTGGCAGTTTACATTTATCAATTCAGATAGATGCCTATTTATGTGATTCTCTTTTATCTCAATTATCATCATCATCAATTATTATGTCAAAAAGATCATTTTTACTTACGACGAAAATCAATCCCATTAGCTCTCATCTTTTGGTTAAAGCTCGTGTAACAGATATGAGTTATGAGGTAAAAGTAACATTCAAATTACAAAGAGCATATATGAAAAAATGATGATTTTAAAGTCAAACCTTAATTACTGTATAGTGGTGTTCTGTATGATGCTCTGATCGATAACATACCTGTAACATTAGATTCTGATAATTAATGAAAACCTGCTTACTGTTTGTCCAGAAGTTGGTACAAAAGAAATGATGATTGTGTGAGTCTCATCAGGAGGAAGCATGCGCAACGAGTTCAACATCAAGAATGGTCCTGATGTATTTAAGACAGACGAGGCCAACTGAATGAATGGTTAAGGTCCAAAGATATTATTTGGGGCAAGGACAAGATATCACTCCAAAAATCATTGAAAGTAGAAACATAGAATGAAATTCTTATTTTATTATCAATGTCATTATTAGGTATCCCTATGATCAGAATGCATAAGCTTGTAATACATAGGGCAATAAATCATTTATCAACTCAAAAATTGAGGGAGTTGTAAAACATGCTGTGAAATTTGAGGGAGGTGTGAAATACGTTGTGGTATTTTGATCATGTGGTACTCAATTAACCAATCAGAATACTGAGATTCTAGCCATGATATACTAATACATGTAATAAAGGATACATCAAGTGTTTTGTTGGAGATGTTCTGTATTGTGATTGACTTGTTCACTGTTTGTCCTATAGACACTGAGCCATAATCTGTAGTTGTGCGTCCACTGTCAGATATCACAACCAAGTCTGGCTTCACTATAGGACAATGGACTTCCAGGTACAATGTATCATGTACGCTGAAATATTGACATACATGAACATCAAATATATAAAACATTTTATTACTTTTTATTAATATGAAAAAAATTAAACCAATTTGATTGGGTCTAACTTACACTGAAGTCAACAAGAAACAGAAATATGATTACTTTTGAAGCTGCTTATTTAAGAGCCTGTTGATATATATTCAGGTTTATAAACATTAATACCCTCAATTCATGGTACACACATTTAGGATGTCTCAATCAGGATATCAATTGCATGCATATTTACGGGTGTTCAATATGATAAACCATATCAAATGTGAATATAATGTCTTACCTGTACGGTAGCTCTCCAGGGTTGGCACATTTACCAGATGCCACGTAACAAGGTATGACGAAAGTCTTGAAATGAGGCTTCCATGTGCGTAGCAGAGAACCATGAGCAGAAGCGTAGCCATCAGAACTGAAAATATATGACGATTGAATAACTGAATGGAAAGAGATCATTTCAGCGAAATCATACAAATATCTTCAAATCGAAAAACTGTGCTTTTGGTTTCAACTTTTCAGTGTGTTTAATGAAGACAGCAACAGATGATGAAAACAGAAAATGCAATATAGCACTATAGCAAATTTGGGAGAAAAAGCAATACATGTAACAATAATATTTGATTCTACAAATATTATCTTACTTAGGATCAATGGCCTCCTCATCTTGCACACTGACAGGTTTGGGTCCCGCCATACCTAAGTTCATCCCATTCTCATTGCGATGCACAACTCCTTGTTTGGGGGTCTTTACAGGAGATGCCTTCCCTTTGTCCTTCTTACCATCTTTCTTGCCTCCCTTCTGTTAACACAACATAGTATTTAATGTATGTAAAATGTAGTAAATGAGGAATAACATATACACCAGCATTGCGTTGCAAATCAACATTTAATACATATATAAGAACCCTCCTCTTTGGTAAGCAGTTCAAAGTCTGAGGATGCAGTTAAACTGATAAAATCGTTCTTAAATCATTTTATAGGATTATTTTAAGTTTAAATATTCACATCATATCATATATATATATATATTCATATCATTTCTGTTATTAATTCAATGTTTGTAGAATGGTGGGTTCACAAAACCCATATACTTGACTCAATAGACAAGATAATGGGTCAAGCAGCTACATGTATGATATAGGGGTGAAGGGAACAGTGAAATCAATGGCCATCACAATGAAGCAAAAGGGGTAAGTGGATAAATGAAATTAGCAACCTGTGACTATTACTATAAAATGGAGAACAGGAAGTGAAGGGGAATGAGGAGAATGGGAAGGGGGGGGGGGAGAAAGGAAAAATGGAAATTGAAACACAACACCAAGTAGAATTCTGTGAATCAAGGAAACATCGATAATCAATTGTTACAAGCTATATTTTACAGGAATGATGTGTGTAAACCATCCTACATACTTGTATTCGATGAATATCATATTTATCCTTGAGGGATAACAATATGTGTAAAACTGAGCAAGGATAAAATGATATTTTTTATTTTTGGTCTATTCTTGGACTATTATTTGAAGGATACAAACTATATGCTGTGAGAATATAAAGGGATATGAAGGAAGATATATACAAACCATTTTCCTTTTTTTCTGACAAGTCAAAAAAAGTAACATATAAGTAGTATCTCTTACACTTACCCTTACCATTTATTAACTGAAACCGTTTTACACAAGTACACAATGGCACTTATTCTACGTGGTGTCAAATTATAATATAAATGGATGTGCAACTGTCTCACTTTAATTGTGTTCTAATTGTCATATACATGTACATACAAGGTGGACGAGCCATAACTATCAATATGAGATGCCTGCTACTTTTTAAGTGAGTGTCTCATAAGTAAGTACAATCACTTTTCTCAAAAGACCTAAAGTTGTATTTTCTGAGAAAGTTCTTGAAAAATGAATATGCCATTATACCTGATACTAGTATCAAATAAATCATAGTACATTCAGCAGTAAGGCAAATGCCAGTAGAAGAAGTAGAAACTATATATTTCATTGAACTTATTTATGGCTTAAGTTTGATAATTGACTTATAAGCAACATTTAGGTAAAATACCAGGCCTCTAATAATTGATATTTCTATGGCCTACCCTGTATGTTTAGAATGTCAAATGAATGCAATGATACACCACCAGAGAGGTCAAATTACCCAATCAAACATTAAATAAAGAAACTCACTAGTAATGTAAAATGTCAAATATTTCATGATTAGTTAAAATTCTAACCATAGAAAATTAAGAGATCATTTAAAGGTTTTCGCTGTTTATACTGATGCAATCACATCTCAAAATGTTAACTTTCAGTATATTGAGGTCATTCAATGTCATTGTCATTTAAGAAACATAGTCCCAGTTACTGTTGCCACAAGATTTTTCTAGATTTGTTAAGAATAGGCATGGGAAACACAAATATTGTTAGACTGTTAACATGGTGTGAGAAAAATCTTAACAATTTATGCGGTTTTGTGTTATTAATTATGCCTTAAGTAGAATCACTATATCACTTACAAAAACACTGACAGTCTCAGGCTGAATAAAATAATAAGCATTTAATAATAATTAATATTGCTTTGCAAAAGATTCAAGATGTGCAGTTTTAGTTCATGACATAACAATGCATGACATAGTACATGACATGACACATTATATGACATGACATAAAATAAAACACAAAAATTGCAAATAACAATAAAACAGTAAAACTCTGGACGGATTAAAGAACAAATTGAACACTTAACAATGGCAATAATGTGTCCCGAATATACAGGTGTGTTACACTGCAGAAACATGAACACAAGCAACAAGTAATATAAGTTATTTCATAACTAAATCACAATCACTTACACCGCCTTTTGCAGACTCAGTCTAAACAAAAGAACAAGAACTTTTTAAATAATGATGAACTCAGAATAATATTTCCAAAAAATAACAAAGCATAACTAAATGATTGAGCTGCAAACAGAACATCAAATTGCAAAATATCAATCTTGAACAAAAATATAAAGGGAAACATGTCTGTTCAAGATACACATAACATTTTTACATGTGTCAAGTACTAACATAACATGAACAAGAAGGAGCCAAAGTGCATGAGAAAATTACAGTTTAATACAATGCTTCCAATAGTAGCCATTCACTATAGACTGAATGTTTTCACGAGAGTGCATCACTAACTAAAGTATATAGTAAACTAAACTAATGAGACACAGTGATTTAAGATGATCAAAATCATTTTTGACTGTTATTTTATGTTTACTCACAGCATTGTTGGCCTCGGCAGCTGCAGCCTTCTCTCTCTTCATCTGAAGGTCGTATTCCTTACGTGCCTGGTTCTCTGCCGCCTTTGTTTGCATTCGCACAGTCTCTTTCTTGATATCCCCTTTTTGTAGCTTTGGCGAGAACCTTATCTGGATGCGATGTTTCTATGAAATATATATAAATGTACATGTGTATCAGAAATAAGATTCCGTTGAATATCAAATGATATTCAGGACTTAGTCCAATTAAATTATACAATTTTTGTCATGTGACCTATTATTATCCAATCACAGAATGAAAAACATGACAGTGTAAATGATATATAAGTTATTAAATATGAAAGTTAAAAGATTATTGTTAGAAAAAGTAATTTCTCCATACCTGTCCGGGCTCAATGGTCCCCACGGAGGGGGAAATAGTGAGGGGTGCACCGTCAGGTATCATAAATTCATAAGATGTGGGACCCACTGGAGCAATTTCACCTAAAACAGAATGACATAAATACAATACAATACAACATGAATAAATAATGACTCACTTCTGAGCTGAGACAATGGGTATTCTAAGCAGAAAAATTGTGTAACTATATGTTGCTATGGGTGAAAGTACATTGTTTTAAAAAATATGGATATTAGCTCTGATATATACTCTAAACTGGAGGGAACTACTAATTTCTATATTTCCACTATCTAAACCATAAATAGTTATTGTCTACAATAGCACCTTAACATTAGAATATTTTTTAATATATATATATTTAATATTCTTTAAATAAAGCCTCACTAATTAATTTGACACACATACTTGTTTTGGAGAGACAAACACTTCCACTTTTCAATCCATACTCATCTAAATTGACATTTACATAGAGAGATATATGCAAAGTTGTACCAAATAATAGCACCAATGTTATAATGTACAGTGAAACCTCCATACCTGAATACCTCTCTAATCATATAATGGACCATTGTTAGTTTTTTTGCATGACAAAGTCGACATCAAATGGATGATATCAAATGTTACCTTTGCCAATGCGAGGTACAGGATGTGTGAACTCGTTCATACTGGTATGAGAGTTGATGACATGTAGCGATGTTGTAGAGACGTCATTCAGAGCAGTAGCTTTGAAGTGAACTACTTGCTGGGAGAGCTCCAGTGGTGGGTGAACTCCAACACCTTTACACTGGATCTTGAATTCTCTGAAGAAATAAAGTCGAGAATTTGTATAGCAGAGGATTTGAAACTATGTTTGGAAAAACTTTCATTGGGAATTACATGTTCTACAAATAGATTCCAGGATACTTCTGAATTCCAGAAATTTATTAATTATGAAACACCCTGTACACATCACTTTATAGTTTTTACCTGTTGATAAGAGATTTGCAGGTGAGTTCAAAGTTGTAGTCTCTGGCCTTGCTTGGACTGAATATAATATCCAGCTCAATGGTTTCTAAGGGTAACAGAGTCCCAAAGCCATCATTAGGCTGCACATCCACATACTGGAACAAAGAAACATGAGCCATTCGTGTGATGTTTCCACATCAAGTGTCTGAGTAAACGAACTAGATAACGGCAACTCCGCGGAGTAGCAAATCTCAACGAACAAAATATCAATTACCGAATTCCAATCAATTATACTCATTACTTTGGTTAAAATTGAAAAATTTAGATTTTAGAATTGCGAATTCCTGCAAAGCAGCCATTTTGAATTTTCTGAGGTACAAATCTGAAAAATAATACCATAATTGTGATCTACTCCAAAATTCCATCAATTTGAGTATAATATAGCCATACTTTGAAGGGATCGAAAAATTATTGCGAAATTGTACATTAGACGGCCATTTTGAATTTTACGAAGCTCGAATCAGAAAAAAATACAATATTTGCAATCTACTCTTAATTGCCTTTAATTTGAGTATAATAAAGTTATACTTCAGAAAAATCTAAAAATAAGCGAAAATTTCTGTTTTCCTGACCCCCCATATACGGCCCCTGGGGGTCAGGATGAAAAACACGGAATATATGTGAAATAGATAGATGATGTGAATATACTACCAAAATTTCAAACAATAATATTAATTACTTTGGTTTAGAATGAAAAATTTATGATTTTTGCGAAAAAGTCCCGTCATTTTTAAAGCGGCGGCCATCTTTTTTGCGTAAAACTATTCACCAATATACATCTTTCCACTAAATATGAAGAAAATCTGTGAACTAATATTTGAGTTATCTTCCGGACGGACAGACGGACGGATGGACTGACGAACTGACTGACGGACGGACGGAGGGCTTCACTATATCCCTACCGAACTTCGTTCGTTGGGATAATGATCCAAAGGGAAACACAATACATTCTTGGATTAAAGTGAACATGTGAAGTTATATGTTCCACATATCATCACAACACATGACTGAAGACCACTGGACAAAAAATCCAAGGTCCATTGAAAGGACCCAAATAAATGTGTTTACCTGCGGGAGCCCCACAAACCCAAACTGCTGGGCTAAGATGGAATGATTTGTGAGCTTCACAGTGTGTTTCACAGACTCATAGATAGTAGAGTGGCCGAAGTCAATGTCAGTAGTGTCAAACTGTAGGTCTGTGTTAGTGACTACAGCATGGACAACAAAGGGGACTGGCCTGGTCTGTCCTGCTACACGAATAGTCATAGGAGCCTCAAGGACCCCAGTTTCCTTGTCAAAGTACTTCCCTCCGTCCTCAAACAGGCTGTGTCTGAAAACCAATTTAAAATTATGATGGATTGTGATTACATGTACTGGTAAATATAAGGGAGACAGACATTTGCTTCAAGCCAAATTCCCACACAAAATGAAACAAGAAACATCCATTGCTGTTGTTAGTTTTAATATTTTTAATGACAAAAAACCTGATGTTATAAGATTTAATGATTCAAGTAAAATAAGAAAATATTGTGCTTGAGAAAGTCTGTATTTCACAAGGCACCAAGCTGCTGACTAATATACACTTCACAAGGGCATGTTGTTTTTTGTATCATACTTCAATCATTGAATAACATTTTTAACACCTACCTTGGCCAGAACTTTAACTGAGCAGAGAACTGAGACTGTGCCTGTATGTAACCAGTCTTGGGAAGGAGCTCAAGATGGTTCCTCAGTTCCTTACATACTTCAAATGTCAGCTTCAGAGCAGTGGTTGCCCTGTTAAATATAAAACATACAAGTTCTTATTACCCCGGGTTATCTCAAACAAAACAACTATACTGTATATTGAACATATATGAATATACTGAGATATTAAATATTCTTTCTTTCTGGTTTACTTTCATCTGGGAAAAAGGAATTGAAACATTTAGTCAGAACAAATAATTTTATCATTTCTTACGCCCAAAAAAGCAGAACTACTAATCAAGAATTTCTAATACTTGCATTACAAATCGTACTGTACAATTTAAAGTGATGATAATTTAATAGCAACCATAACTATACCTGTTATTCACAACAATTGTGTCCTGGTAGAGTCTGTCAAACATGCAGATTTTTAGGTCAACATTCTGTCTCTCCACCCACACTGGTACATCAATAGCATTGCTTACTGCTTGGATTGGGATCTGAAACCACAAAGAGTACAGTAAAACATCTGTACTAGTATAGTGTTCACATGTAAGTAGTCCTCAACTTATTTTGAATATTTTTGAATAAATAATTTTGAATAAATAGTAATATATAAAAAATAACTGGGAATTTAAATTTCTAAATCAAAATGTCAGGAATAATTAAAATTCATTTAAAAATCCATTATGACTAAGAATTAACAGGAAATATGCAGTAATGTTAACTAGTACTCACATCATCTGATTCCTGATCTGTAAATGTTATGAGGAAATCCACCTTACTGGCCTGAGGCACTAGGGGTTGCCAGATTATCTCTAGTTTCACAGATGAGAATGGCTTCACTTCACCACTGAACAACTGAGTAAAAAATGGGTAATCTGACAGGGTTGTAGAATGCAATTACAGTAAAGAGTAGACATTGAAAACAATTGAATCTTTAGCACAATAAAAACAAGGCATTAAAGTGCAAAATGTCACCACCTGCCAGACACTGGTTGCCGAACTCTGACCACCAAACATCATCCATAAAAAAGTTGGAAACTATAACTATTTGTCACTTCTTCTGGTGGTGACATAACTAGACTTTGGTAGAAATTACTTTATCTCATGCACAGTGAAATGAGATTTCATCAGCAGACATTGTAAGACAGCAATCTAACAAAATCTTGTCTCAAATAAAATTGGTAGAAACAACAATACATTTATTACAATGAAGAATTGAAGTTGGAGACATCTATAATTTTACAGCAATATTGCCTGAACTTATCCTAAACCATTCAAATCTTGATTTATTCATCCAAATTGTAATTAAAACAGGGATTTCATGAGCAACAGGCGATTTTCACCGGTTGTTTTCACAAAATAGCCTGTTGTTTTGGGACTTTTCAACTTAACTTTTTATTTAGCCTGTTAAGAGAAATTTTAGTGAAACCCCTGTAAAAGTGTATGTCAATAATCTTGACTCCATAGGTGTATGTGTCATAATTATGTGATACCTTTCCAATTTTCATTCCATCAAGAGTCGCATATTCATCCTCTTCTGTTACAGGTCTCTCCAGAGCACTTGGAACTACAAAAATAACAATACCAGGATATTTCGATTTCTAAATAATTTTTATCAGAGATGATGGAAAACATTATGATGTCATTATTGATTTTACAGATACTTATACAACCATAAATTTTGAATCCTGTTTATTAAGTATTAAATCGTCATAAAAATACAGACTTCATTCAATTAATACCTACATTTATTATAAGGGAGAGGTTTATAAGCTCATCTACAGCAAATAATAAAACACAATGAATATATCTTACAATAATAAAAAAAAAAATATTTTAGAGAACTTTTTGAGCTTGCACTTCATCTCATACTATACTATACATGTGTTATTGTTACATTACTTCTAAGAAGGAGATGCTGAAATCAGAAACAATTCAAACTACATACTCTCATCAACTCTAGGTAGCTCAGGAACAGCAGCTGCAGCTGCCTCAATCCCAGTAGAGGTGAGGCTCTCCATGCTCTGGAACTTGCTAGTAGTCACCTCTGTGGTCAATGTGTCCTTAGAGCCTGTCAGCTCACGGTTGTCAGTCATCAAGGATGCAGCTTGGGTCTGGTTCTCACTGGGGATTGTTGTGGGCAACGCTTGTGATAGGTTCTCAGGCACTTTCTCTGCAAGGATAAAATGTTAATTTATTAAATTATTGCTAAACTTAGTGCATTTTGATTTGAACGTTTTTTAAATATTGTTGTCATTAGCAGTTTCTCATCCTATATAATAACATATATAACAAGTGTAGTAAGGAACTTCATCTACCATTCGGAGAAAAATCTAAAAATCATATCTTTTATTTGACTTGAATTGAATGATTGGATCTTATTTTATTTTGATTTTAATGACAAGATCTTTTCATGGTCAAGGAAAACCTTGGGGTCCATTTGGTGCTTTCATACATGTAAGGATACCATTCATATCCCATATTACAAATAAATAAAAAGATTTATGCCGACATACCATCTTCCTCATCTTCTCGTTTCTTCTTAGTCTCCAACTTTTTCTTAGAGCCTTTGCCTTGTGATTTGGGAGGCTGCTCCTCTGGTTCACCTTCACTGGTCTCTGCAGTAGTCTATAACACACAACATTATTTAATTTTTAATCCTGAGAGTTTTTTTTAGTGATAAGTCATATCAAACTGACTTGAATCAAAATAATAATGTTATAATGTCAAAGAGGTTAGAGGTACCATAGGTTCTAACACAATAAAAGGTTACCTCATAAATTCCAGAGAAAACAGCAATTATTCAGTCTTGTTTTAATAAAAATGTGCAAAAGAACTTAACTATTGCTAACATTAAACAGCAAAAACCATATATAACATAGTCCTATAATTATGTTAATACATGTAAATGTATATATTAAATTTAAGTATAGAATTAATATAAGTTCAAAATTAAATATGTTTATCTTTGGATGCTTGAGGACAGAAATATTATTCAAAATGATATTTAGTGTGTACTCTAGATATTTCATGTTAACATGTTATCTCTATGGATTTTGAGTACAATGTGGAGTTCTTAAATTTTGATTGACAGCTGGACTCATTTATCAATATTTAAACTCAATTGTGACATCATAAAACAAATGGCTTAGTTTCTCACCAATCTCCCCAATGATGTTGCCGCAGATGTGAGAGTCCTTGGCTTCATCCCTGTTAACTTGATGAATTCAAAGCCTGTTGTCAGCGCCCCATTGTTGGTCAGTGTAATGGTTTGTTTCATTGTCTCACCTATCACAGTTGTACCAAAGTCAACAAGATTTGTGTCCACGGACAACTGAAAATAAAACAATATTTAACCAAGTGTTCACCAGAAATAACTCTCAGCCATTGACAGTCAAATATTGTTAATAATTTAAAAGCAAAACTTGCATATTTCTAGATTTTTGTTATTTCCCTATACATGTATTATGATTTTTTAATGCATAACATACACAAACAATTCAACTTACATCACATTTCTTAGTAGTGCAAACAAGTGGAATGGCAAAAGGTCCAGTCTGAGCCAGGAAGTCCACTGTGCCCTCTAAATCTTCATTGATCTGTAAACATAGATGTTCATGTAATATTGTATAAAATTTTATAACAAATCTACTTACTGTATTTTCAATTGGTACCAAAACCCACAAACTACCTCTTTCCACATTCCACACATTGCAGACCTGAAGTCCGGGCACATATACAGTCTTGAAGCCAAAAAGATGAAATGTAAGGATGTTTTGTGATACTCAATGTAACTTCAGAAACATATATAGAACAGTAAATAGCACATAAGAGACAATGAATGAAATATTTACCATTGGCTTGAAGGTGACAAGCATCTCACAAGTTAATCCAGCTGACATTTGGCCTGGGGGGTCAAATCTGCAATACAAAAGTGGTACCTTTGGAATCAATCAAATAAAAATATAACATTAATTTGTGTTTTCATTTCAAGAAATACAATTTTGAAGCTATAATGTTCACACTTTTTCATGTTGATGTACTCACACTATTTCAATGAAGTCTTTGAGGTGTTCAGTAATACCCAAAAGCTTGCAGTAGTTCACAGTGTAGGAGACATTCGTCAGAATCACCTTTTTCTTATATGTTTTACCAACATCAAAGTCCTATAACAAAAGTTAAATTACTAATTTAATAATAATCATAAGTTGCTGAAGTGTGAATGAAAATACATAAGGCACAAACAGTGTTTTTTCAAATTGAATGAAAATTGTGTGTAAATGCTGAATTTTAAATAAATACTAAGTTTTCATATCAGTTTATCAGTCACTGAGAGCTCAACTGTAAAGTCAAATGTCAATGAAAAGTAGTCAATGACAACATTTTAAAAAAATACTTGGAATGTATGATACTGGGTTGAACATACGTGTACCTTAAAATGTTCAATTGGATTGAACATACCTTGAAATGTATGACATTCGGTTGAAAAACGTTGAAATGTATGTGGCAAAGTGACATGCCACAGTGCTACGTAATAATGACAGGTCCCCAGTTAGTTCGCAAGAAGAACGCTGGTGGCGCTGCAATCGTTGGAATAAACTATATTTCTGTGCCAATTCATGTTCTAATGATCTCTTTCCGGTGCGGAGTCTGCATTTTCATTCGCACATGGCTTTTATTTTGGAAAAATGATAATATCTTTACATTACTAGCATAGGATGACATTTTGGTGTCTATTTCGGACATGCTATTATATCCACTATATATTTGTGTACTTTTTATGCCATTTTGCATGGGTTTATCTCAAGCTCATTTTTCCTGCATGTCCTTGGATATCTTGAATAAGTTCACATTACATAACACCTATCATTTTATATCTATCTTCAAGTGTAATATACTATTTCAATGCAATCTGGGTGATTCAGGTCATACATTTTGATGTTTGTATGGATTTTATATGGATTAATGTAGAGTTTCCATACTGGTGAGAATATTTGTAATGATGTTTTAGGGATCTGTACTAGAGTTAAGGCTACATCCAGTATAGGGATCCATACTAGAGTAATACTCCATCCAGAGTTATGAGTGTTATGATGTTCTGAGGGTCCATACTTGTGAACATAGAACATTTGGTCAGGGATCTACACCAGTGGTATACTGTATATTGTAAGTATAGTATAGCACTAACCTGGTATGTACATGTAGATCGTCATTTATATAATCGTTCCATTTCATAGAATATCACATTTAGTAGATATTCTGTAGGTCATTTTATAGCAAGGTACAGTGTACAAGACTTATGTTTTTATTTTATTTCATCATTGTGTCAGTTTTAGTACAAATCAACTTACAACAGTGTATAAGCTAGGTTTGTTAACATTTGTTATCCATGCTAGGTGTACAGGTTAATGGATTTCCATTAAGGTATGGACATTTGTACATACTTACCATTATTCCATGTGTATTTTAGGGAGACAAGCAGTGCATGGTTTCATGGGTGTGGACAGGTGTCTATGATCGACTAGGTCGGATGACTGCATTTGTTTGAGTTTCCATGGGTAAATTATACATTCGTATATATTCCTTTATACATGGCATTTTAGTAGATTTTATGGACATTTCGATAGGGTAATGTCATTTTTTTAAGAGTAGGATACGCCATAGTTGAGTGAAAGAGTATAGCTCAAAGCATGTCAAATAAGATCAAGTAGTAACTATTTGTACTTTTACTGGAATTTAGAATGTGAGGTTTCTATATAATATTTTGTTTCTGTATTTGCAGGATCAATCCTGTTGCCCTTTTTTGTCACACACACATGTCACAGTTGAAATAAACTACGTCAACCAAAACAATTACGTATATTATCTGTGTTTATATGCCCAACTATACCGCACTTGGCCACAGTGGTGTCAGATGTTAACTACAGCCTATTGGAACTAGTGACAAGGGTAACAGGGGACATCTGGTGTAATATTCAACATTCGTCAGCAGACGCTTACGTTCAATGATAGCAGGGAGGGGATTCGCAACGTAATTTATGTGGAGATCCCAAGTAATAGAGTGTGAAATTGACATCTTGGAAGGAGAAGGAAAATCACCAATTAAAATGTGTCATATTGAGGCAGTGTGTTGCCACTTGAAATGATTCTATTCTGAATACAATATTAGTCATACTACACAGTGTGTTGTGTATAAAAATGTTGCAGATAGCAGGTGATGCTAAATATTAACTTTTGCTGCCAGAGAATCATTCTATTCTGAATACAATATTAGTCATACTACACAGTGTGTTGTGTATACAGAATGTTGCAGAGAGCAGTTGGGGCTGAATATCAAAGAGTGCCTTTGTAAAATAAGCAATATATTTTATATACATGTACTATTGTAATTCACATTTCAATAATAGGTTATATGTGCTTCACTTGAGAATGTTTGATATAGGGCGTGAGAATTAAATATATATTCCATAGATGATCAATAAAAGTGAAACTTCACATATCAGTGCCCATTAGAGCCTTTAACATACTGAGGTACAGTGTAACACATTATGCTCAATATCAGATTATACTTCTAACTTAGAAATTTCTGAAGATACTTTTAATGTTATGCTGGATTAAAATTTTCAAGAAGGCTGCTCATGATAATTTGGGTACGGGTATATGTAACTGGTAAGGTTTTTGAGAGATGTTTACCTGTATTCATGCATTTTAGGGCCATTTCAACTCCATGTCTGTTAGTTTGATTGGTTCATGTCTTGTAATCTATGTAGAGTCATAACCTGATAATCTATACAATGGCGGAAGGAGGATCACCATATAAGCACCCAACTCCGCGTAAAAGCCTAGTTAAGTGTTTAGGGGACATGAAAGATTCCCCTTCAAGGAAAGAATATCTTAAGCTCCAAGAAGAGGTGCAAAGATTAAAGGACACAAAATCAGCAGTGACTAAAGTGATATATGCTCCCAAAGAGAGAAAAATAGACAAGTTTGACGGAACGGGAGACGTTGTGCGTTTTGTCGAGGAAATAAAATCAATGTTGAAAGCTAGAACATGGTCTGATGGGCAACAAACTGATTTTATTATAAGCAACCTGGAAGGTGCAGCTAGGGAGGAGCTGAGGTATAGATCAAACATGGAGAAGGAATCTGCAGAGTCTATTTTACAAATACTGATAGATGTCTTTGGTGAGAAAAAATCTGCTGCTTACCTGTATGGGAAGTTTTATGAGTGCAAACAAGAATCTACAGAGTCACTTAGGGCATTCTCCCATAAACTACTAGCTTTAATGGCCAGGATACGACAGAAAGACCACCAAGTAGATGAAAATAAAGTTTTAATGGAACAATTTATTAATGGAGTGGATGACTCAGCTTTGCGGAGAGAGCTGAAGAAAATGAGAAGAGATAGGGTATATTCTTCTTTCATCGAGTTGCGCGATGAGGCTGTGGTGTTGATGGAAGATGAAGACATTGAGGTGAGAACGACTGTGAAAGAGCACACCATCAGAAACAGTCCCGAGATGGCGGAGATGGTGAAGATGATGAAGGAATTGAATCATAAAATAGCTGAGCAGGCTAAGGAATTGAAAGCCATTAAGGAGAGACAAGCTCAGGAGAAGACCACTCCAGCAACTACAAAGACACCTAAAAAGAAAACAACTTGTTTTATATGTGGGGAGGAGGGGCACTTTGCTGCAGGCTGCCCCCACAACACATACCAGAAGAATCAGCAGTCCTCGGAGCTAACAGCGATGGAGAAAGATCTTGACAGATTTTCAGCTGGGACTCCGAAGGTTGGGGTGCGAGTAGATGGTGTCTTGGTAACAGGACTGGTGGACACGGGCTCCAACATCAGTACCATGACCAGGGAGTTCTATGTGAAACACTGGGGAGAGGAAATGTCCAGGAAGCCTTCTTTTTTGAAAGTTGTCGCAGCCAATGACATACCTATCGATATTCTAGGGTATTTTGAGTGTGATGTTGAAGTCGGACGCTGTACCACAAAGGATAGAGGAATTTTGATAGTCCAGGACCCAGTGAATGGAGAATCACTGAGAAGGAAAAGGGATGTCCCCCTAATTCTTGGAATGAACATCATAAGGGAATGTCCTGATCTATTTTCTGCAATACCTCAACAAGGAAATACTCTTGATTTCCAAGTGAATGAACACCTGGCTTTGGAGAATGTGCAGCAGCAGACGAGTAATGTGACCTTGTCAATGCCGATGGTTATCAAGGCAGGGACAACTACAGTTGTTCCAGTGAAGGGTCGCTCATTCTCTAATGAAGCTGGCTTGATTGAGCAAAATCAATCTCCATTGCCTTGTGGATTATTCATTGGGGACACCTTGATTAACGGAGCTGCGAAAGTATTCCCTTGCCCTGTGACTAACATCAGCAACCAGGATGTGGTATTAAAGCAAGGAATGAAAGTTGGTGAACTTCAACAGGTTACGGCAGTTGAGGACCCCAGAGCACCAGAGGTAGAAGTTCTTGTGGTTGGTCAGGCAATGATTATTTCCCTAGAGAACTCGGGATTAACACGAGACACCTCTGATTTTGATGTCATGGTAGAGAAATTACAGGACAGAACTGACATCGAACCAGCAGAGAGGACACAACTAATTGATCTGTTAATGAAACATCATGATCAGTTTGCCAAATCCGAATACGATCTTGGATGTACTCAGGCAGAGAATGTAAAACACAGGATTATGCTGAAGGATCCTAATAAGATTGTAAGACAACCATATAGAAGGGTCCAGCCATCTCAATTTGAGGATGTGAAGAAACACATTAAGGAATTGTTGAACAAAGGAATTCTGACATCCAGTACAAGCCCATATGCTTCACCATTAGTAATAGCGCATAAACCCAATGGCCAACTAAGGGTATGTTGTGACTTTCGTCAACTCAATGCCAACACTGTACGAGATAGCTTTCCTCTGCCACGAATTGAAGAAAGTCTAGATTCAATGGCCAATAGTAAATATTTCACCTGTGTGGATCTCGCAAGTTCCTATCACCAACTTAGGATGGATGAACAGGATCAGGAGAAAACTGCTATAACAACACCCTTTGGACTGTTTGAGTGGACGCGTATGCCATTTGGACTAGTAAATGCAGGTGCTAGTTTTATGAGACTGATGCAGTGTACCCTAGGTGA